TCCAAGTGACACTTCTATACTAATGGTGTATAGAACGAAATATTAAGATTTCCAAAGGAAAATTTCATTTCAACTCCTTGGCTCGGGAATCTATTTCGCTTCATTTCAACTGAGATTGAAATTTGAAATAGAAAAGAAAAAAATATTTTTTCTGTATGGTTTAACAAATCGTATATAAATAAATATAATACATTTACACAAGTATTTTATCATATATCGAAAGCTCTTTCTAATCTATGATGACTCAAAATAAATAGATTCTGTGAAACATGGAACGTTTTACACATAAATCTATAACAAAATCTGCCAGTAGTTATACGAATATGCACTAACAGGAAAAATTCGGCCGAATATGCACAAGTATGCACTAACATTAGTCTACTTAGTATCCGATTCTAAACAAACATCAAGAAATTTGATGTAGTTATGCCCTGAAGCAACGGACAAAAATATGCCAAATATACCATAGAAAATATAATGGCAAAAATATGCCATAGAAATACGATCCCAAGTAGTAAAAAAAGTTGATACCGCAACATGTCAGAAACTCTCTCGTGTTATTGGCACTAATAATATTTCAAATTATGTATTAAACTATGTTTATGTAGAGTTATATAAAATATCTTGTCCCAATCTCGCTTCATGAAACTGCTTAAATCACAGCACCTGAGAATATTGTCTCGTAGCTTCTGAATCAGGCTTTTGCTCGAAATTGCTCGAAATCGTTCGAGCCGATGAGGGAGGTAATGGTGTGCGTTTGAATAGTGTGAGATTTCGCGTTAACAATAAAAACGCAGATAAATTAAAGCGATTTCTTTTTTACTTAACGAATTTTAATTGAAATATATTCGATCCATTTTCGATTTAGAGCGGAATTGGCATATCACAACTAAAACCCAGATAAACTCTAAAAGCTGCCTTTCGATAGATGCCAGCACACTTTTTAAAAAGAAATGTCTCCTAATATTATACACAAGCTTACTATACTCCACAGCATCACCCATCTTTAAAAATACATCACAAGTAATAGAAAATAATCGGAGAGCCATAAATACCGTTGTGTCTACAATGACTCGGACAACGACCGGGATGTCCGAAGGTTCGAGTCCCGACCGTGGCGGAAATTTGATGCTCTAGCGTGAATTCAATCGCTGTCTGGAGGATAATTCAACCGGTTAGCTGCTCTGATTTTACGTTGCTTCTCAGATTAATATCAGGGAAGTAACTAAATTGTAAGTGTACGGTTGCGATCTGTTACTCCTAGCAGAGAGGTAACAGATCGCGCGCGACCTTTCCTTCCTCAATATTGTCGCCACCTTTCTTCGTACACACACACACATACACTTACATGCACTGCACTACCACACATGTCGGGAGACCAATCGGGCGCTTAGAGCTTGTCGCGGCTGGGGCGGTACCCCACTGGTGGAGGACGGGACTAATGAACTTAGCAGATGATGTACCCAAAACATCGTTATAAAGAAAACGAAAATTCCTCAAATCGCACACACCGCACATCGCTTCAAACGCACAATGATGAACAATCAACTAAACAAGGAACTAAATATCTTACTCATTCGAACACGTAGTCCTCTTTTCAAAAAAACTTTTACTCTGACAACTGGAGAGCACAGGAAACCATGATAAGCTCACTTTAATACTTAAAAAAATCAAAAATAATTTTCTTTCTATGATTTCCTAAACATATTCGCCAACAATTGTTAACAGTAGGTACTCGAACTAGCCACCATTCAAGTAGTAATAATTACACTTAGATATTATTTTAAAGTATTCAATACTACATTCGACACAGTTTGTACTGAACTATGTATTACCTTGATATTTTTATTACGGCTTCCAGAAACGGATTTTAACACTGTATGTTCTCCCAACATGTTCAACGAACACTCGAACTCCTATCTCTCGAATGGAACGAACACTGCTGTTTTTGCGTGGATTTCAAATACACCCTGTAGAGGGCTTGAGCGAAAATGGGGCTTGAGCAAACTGATACGCGCTAGACACCTGGCAGTCGGGGTTCCTGGGGGAGGGGGGAGGTGAACGCCCACCCATCCTGCCGTTGCAAACACATGAATAATTCAGTGTTGGCCTTGTCAGTCTGCCGCTGCACCGGACTGACGCGCACGCCCTGCGCCAGGCAGAAATTCTTTTTCTTTCGGGGGAAAAAGGCGGGGACGAGCGGGGCAGGGCGCGGCGGGGCGGGGAGGAGTGAGGCGTGGCGGAGGTGGGGCGGTGGCGGAGGTGGGGCCGGGGGGCGGAGTGGAGGCGGGGCGCGAGTGGGGGGCGGAGTGGGGGGGCGAGCGGGGCGGAGCGGGGCGGAGCGGGGCGGAGCGGGGCGGAGCGGGGCGGATCGGACCGGACGGGACGGGGCGGAGGGGGCATGTTGAGCATTTGTTTCACGCGGGAATTCATGGAGAACAGCCTTTGAAACATAATGAATTATCACTATCAAGGAAACACAAATATTCTTAGTTATTTAGAGACGAAATTAATTTATTACAGAATGAAGTTCAATCATTCATTAAAGGTATTCAATGTAATGCAATGAAACGATTCGTGTGCATACAAGCGAATTGAAATTGGAATATACAAGTATCATATGAATGACAAATCTACGGAAAAATTATTTTTTAAACACATGTGATTAAAAACACGCACAATAATCACAGACGAAATGTAAGAGATAGGACAAAACAAATAAAGACTACGGTGTGTAAACCATATTTTATGCAGACTTATCTAAAAAATAAATAAAACAAAGTCGGGTTAGTTATACCATTTATAACCCGAGAACGGCTGAACTAATTTTAATTATATCTGATTTGTTAAATTCATCTCCGTCCTGAATAGCAGAATAACTATTAAAATATCGGAAAACAATCACGAAAAAAATAACAAAACTAAATATTCCTGTCAAATACAACCCGCAACACAAGGCAGGGTTTTTGTACTTTATATCGTTAAACGAATACGACAAGCAAGTGTCGATAATCCTGCCACCGTCGAGAATAGAACCTAGCACCGGCCAGTCACAGGCACTGCAGTGACATCATATGATGCCGTTAGCCATCTTTCCCGGATTTAGTGTGTCCGTCTGTGTGACTTAAGTCACTAACGGTTAGACCACTAATGGAGACAAACGAGGTGTCATTCGAGGCGTCTCTGTCTCCTGGTGCGGAATGATGATTTGGACAGCCTAGACCAGGGGTGCCCAACTTTAATGCCACAAAGGCCAAAACTAAAACCTTTAATATGATTGCGGGCCATATTTCCATTACTCAGGCAATCCGCACCTGACTTCCCTGTATTTTTGATGTAGTTTATAGTTAGTTAGTTGATGATAGTAGTTAGTTGATGATGTATTTTCCCTGTACTTTGCCTGGCTGTTGTGTGAAACGAGGGGGTATGAAACCATGTCTAAATGAGGCCTTACCATGCACAAGGCAGTGAAACACATTGAGACGATTGTAAATTTCTGTATTTACTTGAAAAAAATCCTTAAATCTAATTTCACCTATTTTCATATTAAGGGAGGTTTACCCCTGCAGGGCGCATGCGCTAGGCACACAATGTTCTTGCCCCATATGAATGAAAATAACTTTCAATTTTGAATCGCCCGCCACAATATATGGCTTTTAATATCACTGTATCAAAATACCGGAAATAACGAAACATTTACAATGAAAGAGAGTTAAAAACCTATAATTCAATTTCCCGTTCGAATTTCCGGTATTCGAGATTTACTGTATCCATAGCGAGGTTCGCAAGATCGACTGGAATGTATCGACTGTAAACGTATCTTTTCACCACGGTATCGCCAATGTTCTCGCGGGACATGGATGCGAGAGATTTTAACTTTTGACTAATAATAAGTCATAACCTTCCGCGGGTCACAATAGATAGCGCTGCGGGCCGCCAGTAGGACAACCCTTGCCTAGACAAAATCAAACATGATTTGTTTACGTATCCGTTCAGAAGATAGTAAGAAATTGCCATCAACCTGTTTTGCGCTGCGATCTAGCGGTGGCCGCGCGAACCACGTGCCCCAGGCCAGGCGATGACAGATCAAACGTATCGCCCGGATGCCGTTGCGTACAGGATGTGGATCAGGACTTGCAATACTCGGAAGGAAAAGGAGTTTTCTTGTGTTTAGCTTATATGACAATGCTAACGGGATAATCCGCTTTTAAATGATATTTTCGCCGACAAAATTATATTGTAATACATATAAATGTACAAAAATGAATCAGTATGTTCTAGAGCTTGCAAATGTCATGGTGATGAGCTTGCAAATGAACAAATTTTTATTAAGTCGCATTATAATACACTGAAAGAATTTACTCTTCAGAACAACTCTTCTGAGGGCGTTCAACGCCATTTTCTCGGGTGGGCAACGCATGTAGCCCGTCAAGAAGAGTTGAGCCCACACATTTTTTGTAATTGATTTTAATTCCTAATAAATATTTTTACGTACTGTACCCGAGAACGAAAAATCCAAATAACTTTAAGTTTAAAGTTTTTATTAGAACATGCATTGTATGCATATGAAAATAATTTTTAAAACAGCTTTAAGCGTTGATAACGCTATATTCAGCTAGTACTTATGTATGTAAATACATACTTATCCTGGCATGCTAATGACCCAAGTAGTTCACGCGTTTGGAAATTGTAAAAACTTGTACAAGTAAAAAGTGCTGTTTTTTACTAATATACTACAAATATTGTTTAATTTATTGACTATCCGTTAGCCATATTCCACGTCGCTTATGTGTGGTAGTCCTACGGAAGGTTTAACAGTTGGAATTCAGTTGCATTGTTCGAAGTATGAATAATTTTCGGCGATTTAGTTAGAGCACTTTCTACAATAACTTATTTATTTGCAATGTACGTGTTCCCTACATTTCCAATTGTTCTATTTGCTATGTTTTTACATTTGAATTTGTTTCAAATAAGAAATACAATCACTGTTTTATTTTCAGGTGAGAGACCCATTGGATCAGCGAACAAACGTAAAAATGTAAGTACTAAATTTTAATTGTAGTCACAAGCACGTCCTGCAAATCACCATTATTCTTACTGCTTTCATTAAGTAGTAATATGATAGCAAGCTCCACCTCACTTTATGTTTTTTTTAATAAAATGTAACTTGTTTTCCACTCATTGAACCAGATCGTTTCTATTTTTCTCATACTACACAGTTTACGGTGAAATTGAAAACAAACATGAGCTTATAAATGATGATTGATTGTTACTTCAAAATCCCTAGTATTGTGGCTGCAATAATTATCAGTAATTACGTAGAACTTTCTTTCATTGGAGCTGACAACTTTATCGGGTTCCTGGACTTCCTACTCGTTTCCCCAACTCCCAACAGATATGCCTCTCTTACTTTAACTGACAACCCTGACCCCAACCACCCCAATAAAAACTCAACTGAACAATCCTCGACCATCAGTGTCCTAAACCCTCAACCCCCGAGATTCCACAAAAGAGAATCCATCCACATGGAAGATGCTAGACTGACAAATGTTACAAGGCTTCCAAATGATCTACAACAACTCACCCCAAACGGAATTATTGGAAAGTCTACCAAGATTGACATAATTAATCCCTTTGATGCCCAACAGCTCTAGAAGACTAGACTATACTATACTAGAAGGTGCAGAACTGACGAAAATTAGTCCAATAGTGCTTGAAACTTGTTTTTCTCTTTTACAGATGATGTTTGACATAAGACTAACCCATTCAATTCCAAACATGATCATATATTCAAGCATTTCTTCGTTATATGATCAGGGACGTCAAAAAAGAGGTAAACAAATTTCATTCATGTTATTCAGTCATAAGTGATAATAAAATAAAATATACAGTTAATGAAATAATCAACATTCAAAGAAACTTCCTACATTTATCGTGTCATTTGAATCAAAATTTGCCACTCACAAGAATAAAGTTATCTCTTTGGCGGATTTTCTCATATTGAGCTCTAGTTAGAACTAATTTTGAAACCACTAAAAAGATAGTATCTGTATGTATAAACTTAAATATTTCAGGTATGTAAAATATTTTTTAATTTTCATTTTTATATGATATTAAACTGGGTACATACTTTTAAATTATTGAAATGTTTTTTTATATCAGGTTCGCCTCTGCAAGTAGTGACAAGGAGACAAGTAACAATGGCCATGATACTATCCATTAACCAAAAATAAGTAAATAAATTAACTTTTATAGAAAACATCACTTTTGAAAATGTCGCTTCATAAACTGCAAAACCGATAAATATGAGCACCGTCTGCTGGCCGTATCGAGTACTATTTGCCTTCGTGCAGATGATGCCGGATTCACCAGACACCTCAACCTTTCCAATAGTCAGAGTTGCCCCGCACACTGATTGATTGATTAGTGATTCCGCGTCAACGTTTAAGACCGTTATTCCCGTAAGAAGCGCATTTTTAGCAGGAGGGGGCGATGATTTTCCCCAGTTGGATGGCGAGATCCGGCACGAATTTACTCCTTGGCTAGCAAGGTTTTTCTCGAAGTATCTCTCACCAAAGGGGCACTGCCCCAGCCGGGACCAGCTCCAAGGTCCCGGCTGTACCACAGACGCAGCGGACTGTTCGGGAGTGGGGCCGAACGTTCAGGAAGGTTCCGGTGGGACCCGGATTTGTAATGCGTGATGGGTGACAAATCTCCCTGACACCGCAGATGCTCCAATGGTTTCAGAAAAGTCCGCATAGTGTTGAAGAATAGCTATTAGTGAGCTGCTATTGAAGCAATTTTTGCTACTATCGCAAGATGAAAACATTTGTATGAAGAATTTGGAGAGATCAATCCCAGATTTGAATTGTTCCACGCGAGTGTTAAAGCGAACTGAGAAACTTTAACCCTGATGTATGTTTAAATAACTGGTGGGATCATTGCTATGCAAAATATAAATTTTTCTGTTTTCCATGTGTTTACCTAAAGATGAAACAAGACAATATTTGAAAACTTCATTCACTATATTCATTCACCCCTGCATTCACAACTTCATTCACCCCTGCATTCACAACTTCATTCACCCATGCATTCACAACTTCATTCACCCCTGCATCACAACTTCATTCACCCCTGCATTCACAACTTCATTCACCCCTTCATTCCCAACTTCAATCACCCCTTCATTCCCAACTTCAATCACCCCTTCATTCCCAACTTCATTCACCCCTTCATTCACTATAGAATGCGCTATTTTGGTTTCAAAGATATTGTGTTATTAATATTATTATATTAGTTGCTACTCCGACTGCCTATGACCAGCTTACAAAAAACAAGGAAGACCTCACTTTTGCTCGAACTACAACGCACGGTGGTCAACCCAGCAATCGATGTTTCGGTATCACGGACCCACAAAACATTGATTATGGCTACTAAGAGGCATTTTTATGTAGCAAATGGAGGTATCCACGTTTTTGTTTCCAGAGTTTTTGTGTCGAAAAGTCGCCTTTTTCCGGCGCACTATTACAATACTTTCTTTTCTTGTGTTAGTAAATGCGAGAAAGTAAAATTTCGATTTTCGATATTCTCTTAGTGTATATTTTACCTGTTATTTCATTCAAAAACATATTTCAATAAGGCTAGTCATCTTACACTAAACTAATAATTAAACTAACTAGTAGTGCTACAAGAGCACGTACATTCTCTCCATATTTGTAATGCTTACGTAGTATGCATTTGGATTGTAACTTAATATTTCAACCTTTTCTATAATAACTTCCATCAGACAAATAAAGGAGAGGTGTGAATTAAAAATTTTTGAATTTTTGAGTATTAATAAAAATTTGCTTTGTATCAAATAAGCGCACTTTTCACTAATACACAAATGACGGTAGAATAGGGTTGCCACCTTGCCAATTCCAGAAAACTGGAGACCGCTGCAACCGGGGGGGGGTAATTACTGAAATCTAAAAAGAAATTGACACAGACTTTTATTTATTTCTTCACAAATGTACCTTTATCTTAATGTTTCCAAGAAATAATTCTCTAAGAAAAAACGAACGAAAATTCGATCTTGTTCAAAATGAAGATATCGAACAGAATTCCCGGGGGATTATTCTTGAAACTGTTGCGCGATGCGATTCTCGCATAATCGCTAGATGCTGTTTCTGTCTGATATGCGTAGAAAGAAAGAGAGCGGATGGCGATAACACGAGAATCGCAAGACCAATTTTCATGTTCTGCTCTTTATCTTTCTAATGAAGAGGGAAGGACAGATTTCTGATGAAAAAAAGCTTTAAATTTTAAGTTGAAAAATCTATTTATATTGTAAAAAATTTGAAAATGTATTGAAGTTGAAAAAAAAAGGAGATAATTTTTCATAAACCGGAGACCGGAGATGAAGCTCAAAAACCGGAGCCTCCGGTCTAAAACCGTAGAGGTGGCAACCCTACTGTAAAACGTATCATATCATTGTGATTTGTATCAACACAAAATTGTCAATTAAATGCATATTTTACCTTAAAAATATAAGTTAATAACACGTAGTGTTACTGAAGACCTAGTTGGAAAAATTAGAATCGTTGGATCAAACAATTAGGAAATTACACAAAAAGTCAGAATATTTTTTGTAATGACATAGTACATGTACATAGTTCTTATGCTACAACAGAAGAGATATCAATTTATATATTATTACTGCACTTAACGGTAAATTATAAAACTAAGGCAGCTTTAATCTTAAAAATTCTTCCTATATCAATTTTCAAAATTACAAATCCAAATGTTTCTCACTTTATTTGTTAGAATCTTTTAGAAGTTATCTAATGCTAAGGTTATATTTAATTAGTATATTGGGAATCGAGTAAGTTATAAAGAGTTATTTATTTTAATCTCTTACGCGGCGTTGCCGTCCAAAAGGAGTCCTGCTGCCATATAGTAGATTGAAATTCTCGGAATAAATTTCTTTGTTGGGCTGCGGTAAAGAGGAGGTAGAGGTAGAATAAGAAGGCTTATTTACTTGTTGTTACAGTGCCTCGAAGCACAAGAAAATAGTATATAAAAGTTTTGAAGAATATATAATGTACTTAGTATATGCATAAGATGGACATTACGTAATGACACCATAGTTAGAGGAGATAACTTGCTTAGCATTTAGTTCTGGATGTTTAATTTATACATGTAATTATCATTGATTGACTATATAATGTGCTGAAAATATTATAACAGTTGAGATTTATTTATCTTTGTTTCTTTTGTAAAAGTATGAAAGGACTACTGTTTTAATATCAAAATAATATGGATGGCGAAAGTGAAAGCACAAATTGCATGTTGTGATTGTTCCCGATCAAGCAAGAAAGTATATGCTGTTTTAGCACATCTAGTTTGCCTTCTACGTATGTATTCTACGTATTCTTACGTTTGTATTACGTTTATATTCGTTACGTACGTTTGTATTACGTTAATACGTTTGTATTCTACGTATATGTTTAGAAGTCACGAAAAACGTGTATTTTCAATGAAACTGAAGAGAAATAAAATGTCTGAAATGAAACAAGATCTTGATAGTTCAATTGAAACTAGTGGATCTTCAGAGTGTCACAGATTTTCTCACACTAGTTAGTTTTCTAATTTTATTAATCTAGGCTAAATTTGGAGATTGCACCATCCTCTTCACAGCTGATACTTGAGCCAAAACGGCGTTTCTTAAACATTTTCTCATCTTTTTGTCCCCTGGCGGTATAATTGAAATATGAGTTTACGAATATTACTGAAGAGTAACAACATAGTTCGATATGCAAATTTTTATTGAAAAATTTCAAGCGGATCTTGAGAAAACGTCCTTTGGTTTTTTTCTGAAAATGCGGAATTCGAAGCTGATTTTCACAGAAAAGTTTTAAGCTTTCCAGATTTAATTTAAAAATTAAATAAGATATGAGAATAATTTCTTCGAAATTAACTTTAATAAGATTAAATTAATAAATTTTAATCGTACGAAATTTCATCCTCTCCATTCAATAATTCTAGAGAATGCATTTGGCAACCCTGGCAGCCGAGTTTATCTCTTGCGACATGCGAGGGGAAAATTTAACAATGCTCTTGTTATATATTCAGAGTCAATGGAGCAGGAAAGAAAACAGGAAATTTATGTGTCCTTGATTCACGGAAGTCGAAGGAGAACATTTTTCTGCGGCAGGGTACAGTCTTGATGTAGGCATGGATATGTCAACTTGGGTCCCTCACGTTGTTCTAGGATGTTCAGTCTTTTTGATGTTTCAAATGCCGGTCAGCACTGAGAATGGTAAGTTTATTTCCTACTGAAGATGTATTTAATTGTAAGTTATTTGCTGAAAACCTTCTACCCTAGGGTACATGGTTCATAGTTGCTTTTGTTACGAAAATTTCCTTGCGCGAAACATTTATGAAACATACATCACGTTTTACTGAATTTAAAATATTTGAAAATGTTAAATTTTAGTAGCAAAAAATATTGTTCGTAGTAAATATTGTAATCAGACAATATACATAGTGTTTTTTGTTTTCATAAGGCAAATATTTATTGACAGTTAGAGGTAAAATTAAGCTCGAAAAATATAGTGTAAACGGTGTTTATTTATTAATACATTTTTATATTATTAAATATGGTTATATATTATGCCCGTTTTAGGCTATACAGCCAGTAATAAAAAACATCAAAATCTTTCGTTGTAGAAAATGGAGGCAATAAACGTTAACAAACGCACTCTTCAATTATCACTAATATTCTATTATTTCGTTCCAAAATTTAACGAAGAAACTTCCATTTAGAAAACTTCCGAAGTAAGTTTGGTGTTTGGGAGGACGAGAAACGTTCTGCTGCAGTAGCAGTGTAAAATAAATCTGATTCAAAGAGTGTAACTGACCATGTTTGGATAAATGCTGCCAATATCTTCGGTTAAAAATCCGTAAATTTAAAGTTTGGCACGTGAAATATATTCTACGAGCGTGCTTACCATACCTATATTTACTCCATGATAATCTGTTTTTCATTGTAACCCATTTATATTCAATGTTTTAGTCATTGGTGATTTTATATTATATCAATAAAATATTTCGCTTCGAATTCTTGTAACGTCTAAATCATATTCTTTAACACATCATAATTTGGATGAACTATGAAATTAGAAAGAATATCAGTGAATAAGAAACTAAAAGAGTAAATTAAGGATAATTCTGAAAATCCATCATACGGACCTAAAATATACTGAAAGTAACATGGCAAACTTTGAAACCCGTAAGCTTGTTTGTTTGTTTGTTGTTTTTTTTTGGTAAATAAGAAACATTATTTTCTAAACTATTGGAGCTACTTCCTTCATACTTAAAGGGTTTCTCCACTAAGACAAACTACAACTTTTATCATAGCCTTTTTTTGTATCTTAAGCACAGGTTTAAGCTTAAAAATAAGCATGTAAAGACTTTTAAACTTTTAAAAATTCATATCTACAACAAAAATTAAAATTTCTTCATTATCGTATGATAAAACATTTAAACATGCGTAAGAAACTGCAGAAAAATCATATATTTGAATATACAGTAGTTTGGAACAAAATATTGCTTTTCAAGTTTTGGAATAGAATTTGCATTTACATTTTATGGCATACTACACATATCATTGTAGAGAATTTGGTCATTTAGCCGTAACAAATCGATATATAGTTATGGAACCTACAGAAAAATAAAAGATAATAAAACGTATTTGTTTGGTAGTATAACAAAATCATTTTTTTAACCCCAATAACTGTATGTATCCCTTAAACTATATACATCTGCCAGTGCAAAAGCTCGTCCACAATTAGAGGATTCAAATTAAGAACTTCAATCATTTATTGTCTCCAGATTAACAAAAGCTGCTTGTAAACTCAGGATCATTTAAATAATTATTTGTAAATAGTTAAAAGAAATATTGAATAGTAGATTTAAAAAAATGTTTACTAATGTTTAGTCTCGTATGATTTTAATGTTTATAATTTGGCAGTAACTGAAGTAGAAAAAGGCCTGGTAAAAAAAGTAGATAAATCTTGATCCTATACATAAAAAAATGTTTTCTTGAACACATCGTGTAGTCAGAAACCGTGTTTTGTTGGTCCTTAATAGTGAAAAGTCGATTGATGGCAGAATGTCTGTCCGTGTGTCTGCGAACAAGGTAAGCGACTAAACCGTGAGCACGATTTTCACCAAAATTGATTATTCCCAATCGATATGACTGATGTCGCGGCGTCATGAATTTGAAACTGATGTTTTAATTTTGGGGACATCTTCACATAAAACCCCTGGGACATTTTCAAAATGTTTTTTAGTAACTCTGGAGAATTTTTTGCTGAATAAGTGCCCCAAAACATTAATAAAAGTACTCGCTATTTTCATTTATATACTTTCATAAATTTTAGACAGACAATTTTTATTGTTAACATTTACATCACTTCCTTCACGTTTCAGTTCTGTACATATAAGGCTAGGTTATATGAATATTATCTTCACTGAAATCAATAATTTAAAATTTTGTAAAAGTACATTGTATTTACTTTCGTTAATGTTTTAGATAATGATGTTGCTTGTGCCACTGAAGATGGATAAAGTTCCCCGAAACTAATTTAGTGTATAATGAGTTCAATATACTATTTCATTGTGGCCAGATCACTGTGGCCTTTGTCATACGCCTATAATAAAATCTGTTTATCGATTTTAATTGTTTCAACCACTGTGGTCAGGTGAAATGTAACATTATGCTATCATAATCAGTTTCGTAAAAGTACTTTACCGCGTAAATGTACTTCATAACCACACTAGTGCGTTTAAGCAATGGCGTACTATGCCACTATGCTTTTAAATATATTTGCACTTCTTTGTCTTGTATCCTACACTTTTACCCTTTAAAAACGCCAATAACTGAGTAAGCTTGCTGATATTAATCAAATACTTACAAATCAGCAGACCACCAGACAGAGAGATAAAACATGGACGAAGAGTCTCATTAGAGACAAGCGTACCTAACACAACGCACTCAAGATCCTGTCCTGATATTAATGTTTCCTTGGCTGTCCGGGTATAATACGGACGCGCAGCATCGCGGGTTCACTGCTCTGAGGAAGCCTGTGACATGACAGGCGAAACGTCACTGAGGCAAGGACGCGGCGTCACCTGGACAGCCAAGAAGTCATGGACTCGAGCCGCGGAAGCTTACATTTACATTTGATATCAATGTTGTGATACTCTTTAACACCGAGTATGCAGTAGTGGGACCAAAGACTTCTTGGTTTCCCCGTTTCCGACTCGCCAGAGAAGTAAGCGATCAAAACGTTTTCCGATATGGAATGAACGTTTTTTTGACACCAATCTTTAAATATTAAATACTCATGCTCATATTTCTGTCTTGTTTTTTTTAGTAACAATGTTTCTAAAGCAGTAGTTGTTGCTATTTCAGTTGTTCTTCTTGTCGAGAACAGGGTCACCACGTAAAGGAGAAAAAAAGGAGAACACTTATTGAAGACGTAGAACATATTAATCAAATTTCACAAAGTAAATAAAACGTTGTACGATATTCGTGCCATAACAGCTGATTACAATACTCAATTGGTTACCAAACGCCTCCTAACGGACTCGTTTGGCAATTTTCCAATCTCGAATTGTAATCAGATGCATTACGACACTGATATCTTAAATAAGTATAATTCCATCTGGCAATGTATTTGTGTATCATCTGACAATTAGGTTTGTGTATGTGTGTTATCATAGACGAAGGGCATTTCTTATTAGATGGTGGTGGAGTATCGATTGGGAATTTTGAGCAATTGGCCTCGGGATTTTTCCTTCTAACATAGCTAGAATGACTCGCGCCGGGCTCACACCAATGGTTCACACCGTCGTCATAAATAAGGACGCCGAACACGTTATTTTGTCGTATCTTAAACGCAAGAAAAATATATTTGTTTTGTTAGTGTGTCAACATGCATACCTCGGGCAAGACAAAGTCACCTAAGCTAAGTGCAGCTGTTAAAATGAAGTTTTAGTGTATGCATGTTCGTTTCCTTAATAAGCGATTCCATGTCTTAACTCCATGTTATCTTGGCTTTCATAGATTAAAATTTACTGCTTCAAGTAGGTTGATGTATAGTGAAGCTGAATTAATCTTCAATACAGATCACAAATCCATTAACTTCATATGCATTATACGATTCTTTTGTATGGCAGTCACCTTTCTTCAAAATTAACATTCTAACCTTTATAAAATGTTCCACGTTCGTTTGCTCATTATCTTACTACCTCTTGTAAAATAAACGTCTGTTCACGTTCAAATCATTTCTTATTTTTAAACCTGCAACTCAGTTCCTTTGAAAATTTTGTTTTCAGAAGCGGTGAACTCTTCCAGTCAGTTAATAACGCAAAGAGCAACGAGTAATAGTGTGACACTCACACTGCCATCCAGTTCCAGATGCATTGGTAAATTTAGCCGGTTGTGCCTTAAGGTGAGTCCTTCAGTGTTGTGGTGTGGTAGACCAAACCACCAATTCCCACCCACATTATTCGCCCTTCTAACTTAATCTTGGTGATGTTTTCTCCGAACGCGGAGGAGTACAAGAGCAGGCGCAAGAGTACGTAAAATCTTTAGGACGCGATCTCTCTTTATATTCTTAATATTTTTCTTCTTTCTTTTTGATTCTTAATAATTTTGATTTTCTTCTAACACCTTAGAATATTTCAAAATAAAGGGCTACATCAAATATGGTAGGGCTTGAGACGGCATTTAAGATGGCGAATGATAACAATGTTGATACGTATCTATGTAATCCCTGGTAAGATATTTTTGCCATAAAAGAGAGATAATACGATATTTTTTAAGAAGTGTCCCTGAACACTTTAACATATCTCGTGCTGTTTTTTAGTTACAGAGCATTTCTTAATATGTGAAGTAAAACGTATTGAAGATATCAAAAGGGTCATTCCGAGTCAATTTTGATAATTGACCCTGGAGCTATCTTGGATTCTGAACAAAAGTCCTTTCGAAGGTGTGCATATCTTGATAAGTGCACAATTTTTTCGGTTCCGGTGGTTTGTTTGACCCAAACAGGTCATTGTAAAGTACGACTGTCATATTTTCGCAAATTCAGGAAACAATATTTCATTCTTCGCAATTCTTATTAGAACGAAACTGAGCTTACGCATGTAAACTTTTATTCTCTACTCAGTTTCACTAATATGAATGTTTATCATCAATAAAAATTTACGCAATAAAGAAAATTTGGAAATAACAATATCAATATGGAATAATTTCCTTAATTTTCCATCGTTCATAGTGTAACATCGATTCAGAATGCATAATTTCCACTTTTTAGCTGTTACTATTTCCTTACAAATTATGATTAAAATCGATGTTTGTGGCAAGGAGCTCAAAAATTTGATAGTTTTAACTTTATTTTACAGAAAAATACCTTCTAGATATATTTACGAACCTACATAATTAAAAATGGATCAGTTGTGAAACTTTGAGAATGATTTTTCATTTTCATATGATTATTCATCGGAAGTATACAATGATCAGAATGTAAAAAGTGTAGTGTTTCAAAAAAATATGCGTGAGCGCTCGTCGGCGAGACTTAAATTTTAAGAAAAATAACTCAGTATTTGAGATACACCAGTAAGAAATGTTGCAAATCAATGATGTTTCTTAACCTCGTACCCCTTCACTTGCTTCCTTACTGATACAGCAATTTACCTTGGGAGATAATGGAAATGTTTAACCCTACTTAATGTGGCTTTCATTAACACACAGTAACTGTTTCTTTTCACTAAATTTTTTGTGCATAGATATACTGTCACCTTTTTATGTCTTTCACAATGTATTAAATAATTGTAAAAGAAAATCGTGGTTTCCTATATTATTACTGATTGCAATGCCGTGTTTCAGTGAAACTATTGAACATGAAATTATATTTCAGGAAGCTGAAGGTGAATTACATTGTGAAGTACCTGAGGTAGAGTACATCAAGGCAGACAATCTTACAGTCATCAATCGACTACAGCCCAACACTTCGTACATTTTAAAGACTGAAAATGAGACATTGGAGAATTGCAGTGTGAGAATTCACACATGCCCAGGTAAGTAAATAAATACTACAGTTTGCTATTCTTAATTCACGACACCATCTTTCGAATCCTAAATATGACCATACATTTAGATAGTACAACATAAAATCGAACAAACTTGATAAGCCAGGCAATATACTATTTACATTTTCTAAATTTAGTTGAACTAAGTCCTTTCTCTGTTAAATTTTGTAAAAATGTCAAAATATTTCAATTCCAATAATTAAACATTTGGTTTCCTTTATAAATATATTGTTTTAGGAATGTGTTCTCCCATTCCCCCTTTTCATTTTTGTTCCTGAATGTTGTGAGAGATCGAAAAAAAGAAAGGTGAATCTGGGATGATTGGAGCCGTGAGCGGGCGAGTAATTATCGTGAAGTATAAACTGTACCAAATGTATTATTTTCATTAGCAAGAGTATTTGCTTTTCTGTTCAGTACTGTACCCATCAGATGTATTTATTTCGTTTCTTGGTAGCAGTTCATGGTGAGGAAAGCCAGTGTACCAAAACCCATGCATTATCCTTCGCAATGACATGATTTTTCGATGTTCTAAAATATTTTCCGTTCTTATTTAAGTTCACATACAGGTGGATATTACTCTAAGTATTCTCTCTCATCCGTTAGCTGCTTTACTTTAAAAGAGTCAGATCAGGCTTACAATTGGAAACTGCCAGGTTGGACAAGAGACGTGGCTGCTTTCTTAAAATAGTTCAACCACTTGGTTTTTAAGTCTATTATGTTCTCGTTTTCTATAACTGTTACTATGAAACATTTTGGCGTTTCCTAGTTGATAATACCAGTTCTTTTGCGTGAAGATCAGAAAGTAGTCTTGGACTTCTCTTTTCCAGATATTAGAATGGCAATAGAACACATACTTCAGATTGCGCAAGCTTCATTTTTACACTGATCTAGTTCTGTTTTTGTTCAGATAAAGCCCCAGTGGTGCTGAATTTACGTGTGGACGTGAAGACTCATAGTTTTGACGTGGTGTGGTTCCCTCCGCAAGAAGCGTGTCAAAGCCAATACAATTATTTCTTGAGATACAAGTTAAACGACTCTGAATACACAAATTGGACCAACGTAGAAGCAATAACCCGCAAAAACCACGAGCGTTGTCTTTCTAATGTATGCGTCGCCTTGGAAGAAGATCATCGAGGGAAAAGTTTATGTGTACAGGTAATCCAGACAATAATGTAACTATAGTAGAACAAGTTTGAAATCTCCCTTTTGGAAGGAGCTTATTTTTGCGGGCTTCCCCTACCGCTGCGTGGCAGGTTTCTTGGCATACTGTGCGCACGCGATTTGCCATCAGCAGACGCCTTCCCCCAGCAAGGAGAAGCTGTTGGTCATCAATGTTACTGCAGCCTTCGCTGTGTGACATCATTATCGTCCTAAGAGGAACTGTCTCGTAAAGAAATAATTATTTTGTCTACTTCATCTATGATCATGTTTGTTTTCATATATTAGGTTTTCTTATGATAAATAAATAGAGATATTGTCAGGTACCTGACAATATCTCTATTTATTTATCAAAATAAAAAAGGTATCTACTTCACCAACAATCCAATTAATAAGTTTTCTTAACGGGTTCTTCCAATGATCCGGGCAATATCAAGAAAACTAATGATCGGCATATTTTCTTTAACTCGTAGAGGGGTACCGATGCATTCTTTGATATCACGATTCTTAATGTAACTCCGAAATAATTAAGGTCGGGGTGGTAAGGAGGGGAGCTTGATGTTTAGGCCATATTACCTGCGAATGTTCGTCTCAGAAACAAACACACTATATTACGCCTTTGAACTTGACTTGAAATTAGGCCTACGCTAAGGCACGCCACACTTGCACAGTTCCCCAAGACGAAAGAAATAGGACTGAGGATCTGGAGCAACGTTTCCTATACATATGTTTCTTTTACAGAATACATTAGGAGTTAGCGTTTGTGCGTAGCCAGCTGTAATTGCTTTGATTTGTGTTGATGACACATTTACTGTGCTTCGCGCTCAAGTACAACAGTCAGCCTATGCTTTCCTACTTCTTCTCCTCCCATTTGACGCCTAGTGCGAGTGATAGAGCTACATTTTCAGGGGAAGTAACGATAGATGGTGGGAGTCACTCCTCCTTGCGCATGCGCATTAGAAGGGAGATTACAAACTTGTTCCACTATATTAGTGCTACAACAGCGTATAATTTTTCGCCATATTGTTAATGGTTATGTTATATTGTAATATGCCAATTTTTGTCATGCACTTCATTACTCATTTGAAAAAATTCTTAAACAAATGAAGCGCGAAAAATACACATTTTTATAATTCAAACGTTTAAAAGAAAACAGTTCTCTGCTATTGAATTTATTGCTTTCACAAATAAGCGCGATGCGTTTTTTAGCCGCAAGTGAAATTATTAGGTTATATTAGCGCGAACAAGATGCGGCCGCCAATATCGCCTAATTATCAACGCGGCGGCGTTGCAACTAGCAACAATGGCCTCTGATTCGCATGGCATACAGACTTCGCAAATCAGCATCCTTAATACCACTAAATCCAAATGGACAATAAAATATAAAAATTAAATACAATATTGTTATATTCATCAAAATTACACGTGTCTTACACGAATTACTCGTCTTTCCCGCACCCTATTATGCAAAGCGAAATGATTCATTCGTTTTATTATTTAACTCAATTGAATGACCTAATTTAAATAGTTGTAATGCTTAAACAATAATAAACGTATAACTTTCGGTTGAAGATTAGAATTTAATCTTCCAAAAACTTCTCAAATTACTTGCAGAAAGAGACAGAGCTTCAAACAAAGAGCGCGAAATTCGAATTTGTGATTTGGAATTTTTTTCCAATTTTCGAAAATACAGAGCATCTGAAAATAGGACCAGCACCAGTTTTGTTGTTACGTAATTGGCTACGTATGTGAAAAAGTTAAAAGAAACATTTGGAGTCGTTAGAAAATAATAAATTAAAATTTAAAAAGTGCCTAATACGTAATATATAATGTAATATAAGTATTTTTAGAAAAAATGCACAGAAAAGAATTTTCAATAAAATTGAACAATACCTTATGTGAGATTTGTTTGACCTTATTTGTGAAACATTTTATTAATTTAAAAAAAAATCTTCATAAATATGATTGTCGACGAAGCCGACGAAAAATTAAATTTTTGCAATTTTCAAAAAATCTGGAAATTTAACGAAAATGAGACGTGCAATATCCTCCCAGCTATCCGAGATCAAAATTAAATAAACAATTTGGCACCATTTTTGAGAAGAATGTTTAATTTTAAAAATTGACTCCTATAATATATGCAAAATGTACTTATATTTTCGAAAAATTGTACGTTATCTCAAACTGTGCTGATTTCATTAATGGAAAATATCTGTATCTTCAATATTTTAGTTCCAGGAAGACGCTGAAATAATTTTGAACTTTTTTAAGACATTTGGTGGCGGTGGAGGTTTCCTCTTATGGGAAGCACGGGGCAGTGTGCACGTGGGAAGGGGAACTAAGAGCAGTTGTGGGCACAGCGCTTGAGCGAGTCGCGTAAGGGCGTGGTGCGGGTGCGGTGGCCTCTTATCGGAAGCGCGGGGCAGTGTGCACGGGGGAGGGGCCCTAAGCACAGTGGAGGGCACAGCGCTTGGAGCGAGTCGCGTAAGGGCGTGGTGCGGTGGCGGTGGCCTCTTCAATCGGAAGCCGGCGGGGCAGTGTGCACGGGGAAAGGGGCCCTAAGCACAGTGGAGGGCACAGCGCTTGAGCGAGTCGCGTAAGGGGCGTGGTGCGGTGGCGGTGGCGATGGCCTCTTATGGGAAGCGCGGCGGGGCAGTGTGCACGGGGGAGGGGCCCTAAGCACATGGAGGGTACAGCGCTTGAGCGAGTCGCGTAAGGGCGTGGTGCGGTGGCGTGGCCTCTTATCGGAAAGCGGCGGGGTTTAGTGTGCACCCGAAGGGAACCCTAAGCGGCCGTGGCGCGCAGTGCGGGCGGCAACGCCGTGGGCGAAGGCGCGCTGGTGGCGGGAGCTGGCGGCCGAAGGTGCAAGCGCGGGCGCCGGAGAGGCCAGCGCGCAGCGAAGCGTGGGCGCGCGGCCTGGATGAGCGGCCTGTGGGCGGCCGTGGGCGCCGTCGCGGGCCTCGCTTTCGTCACCGTCGTGGGCGTGTGCTACTTCGACAGAAGGTGAGGCACTCGCACTATGCTCATGGATATTGTACATTAGTAGCGACAGGTACGGGGTTCTATTGGTCGTGCCAGTTGATAATGAGACGGTGAAAACAAAACAACAACGTTTAACATTAAAACATTCATATTAATAGAACGTCGATCAAAAACCGCCGTTATTAAACCGAAGTTTTAAATCTACTTTAGACTTTGACATATAATATATTCAACAATAAAATTTAATTTCATAGTGACTGTTTATTAATTTTTTAAATAAGACTAGAAAAATACCCGGTGTTGTACAGGTTTTTCGTAATCAATTTAGTTATCATTGTGGAAAAGGTCTCCATGTCTCTGTCTCTTCCTCTCTTTGTTTCCCTAGCTCTGTGTCTGTAAATTTATGTTTCTCTCTCTGCCGCTGTCTGCCTCCGCTTCTCTCCGTGAGCCTCTGTGTGTATCTTTCTTTGTCCCCCATCGTCTCTCTCTGTCATTCTCATTCTCTCTCTCTCTTTCTTTCTCTCTCTCTTTCTCTCTCTATCTCTCTCTATCTCTCTCTATCTCTCTCTTTCTCTCTATCTCTATCTATCTATCTATCTAATCTCTCTATCTCAATCACTCTCTGCATCGCTCCGACTCTCTATTACGCGCGCCCGTCCGGTTCTCGGCGTGCCTTGCGTCACGCGGCAACGCAACAATGAAGTTCGCGTGGATCGCGATTTGAATGGAAATTGAATTAAAATGAAGTGCAATTTTGTTCTGCAGTGTCATTTCTTAGAGTTACAACAAAATTAACAGCACATAAACCTTAATGATAAAACACGTAATGTGCGAACTTTAATCGAGATCGTTCACACGGTATATTGAAAAGCGGTAAAATCCGACACTGTTTAACCGATCTCGATGAAAGTTGGCACATTACATGTTTTATGAGTAAGGTTTGTTTGCTTTATGTACAGAAAACGAACTAAAATAATAAGAACAAATAAAAGCGCTAGTTAGATTTTTGTTCCATCTCATCCATTAGAAGTGGATATAAACCAACACAACGTTAAATGGGGAGAAGCAGTGTCAATCACTACGTTGCTCAGAGATTTAAAAAGAGATCACGGCAGATACCTAGCACTTAGCCCTGGACGTTCGAAGAGAGTATTGATGGAGCATAGAAGGACTAGATAAATCACTATAAAGAAAAAGAATTTGAACAATACTCTGGTTTGGGGCCGAAATAAAGTCTGACTTCGTTGTTTTTTTTTGCAGGGACATTAATAGCATTTGGAAAGAAAGTAACGACGTAAATCGAAGGAAATCATGAAATACGTTTACTGTGATATTAACATTATACAATTAAAATAATTATATATATATATATATATATATACATATATATATATATATATATATGTGTGTGTGTGTGTGTGTGTGTGTGTGTGTGTATTTGTGTGAGTGCGTGCGTGTGCGTATTCACTGTTCGAAATTATAATAGCTCATGACAATGGTTTTGAGCAAGCAAGGAGCTAACTTCCCGCTTTTCATAGCTGCGACTCCGTGTTCGAATCTCGGATCGGCAAAAATGTTTTTCACTGTCGTGGTCCATTTCATATAGCTAGTTGACAATGTGAGAGCCTCTCGTGGACAGAGGAAACGTTAAGGCATGGCCTCCTAGATCGGTAGTCACTGAAGGTGGGGGATGCGCCCTGCCCACCCCAGAGACCATGGCCTTGAGGCTGGGAAGCGACGGATGGCATGGCCTTGAACTGACCAGGCTGAACATCCATTTTGATGTATTTGACACCTAAAATTGTAACTTCTTTGCGCAGGTCAAAGTGGCGAGATGCACAAAAGACGTGGGACAACACCACTGATTTACCGGCGAGACCAGAAACTCTAGACGATTTGCTGGCTCCAGACATTGACGTTTTGATTGATTGTGAAATCGCTCCAGAACACACACAACCAGCAACAGCAGCAGCAGCAGACCTTCCTACGCCAATGTGAATTCTGCTCTCGTCCCAGCGAGTTCCCTAGTGATAAGGACGTATTACGGGGCGGCTCCACAAACTGTTACCAGTTATGTATGCATAAATGAGAGATCAAACTAAATGTGACTTCTGTATTGGTGTTTGTATCCCCAAAGTATTGTAGCTGAAGTACCTGGTGTTTCCAGAAACATGGAAGAAAAATAATGTTCGCAATACTACTTATAGTGTAAAATGAAAGTATTGTTGTAAGGTCAATCAGATTCTTCTTTCGTCTGACGATTTCCAATTTTCTGCATTCCAGTAATAAGAGCTCTTATTTTTTGAGTCGAAAATATCTCAAAAACGGTTAACAAACATATTCAAATTAAATTCATTAAAATAAAACTGAACATAATAAACAAAAGGAATTTTTATGTGAAATAGAATCTTAAGTGCCGTGCATCAGTTAACTAGTGAAAATGTAAAGAAACATTTGGAGATGTATGGGGGAAAACATCTTCATAAGTTTCATGCAAGTTACATGTGCATTAATTTTGTTACTAATCAGAAATGGTAAATAATTTAACATTAGGACCAGAGTACTATATATCAGGTAGTATGCAGAAAGGAAATTCTGTCATTTTTGGGACAAAAATTACATTTCTCCCGCTGACTTTATTTGGAATGTTGCTGACCAAAACAAGTTTGTATTACGTACAAAAATTTATGTTAAATAAATTTTTTAAGTAATAAAATTAATAAAATTTTTGTAAGTAAATAAATTTAATAATATGCCTCAGGTAGCAGAATCGAAGATATTAGTTCCTAGTCAACTGTTACGTGTTTGTCACCTGCGGAACAAGAAAATTGTTTTGTTTTCGCCTCTTTAGTCACAAGAAAATCAAGACAATTCATCATATCTGCAAATAAAATTACCTTTCACAGTGATTCTGCAGCAACAACTCAAGAATAATTTTTTTTGCAAAAAATACTTTCTAGTACAGTCTGACAACAGTAATGATTCTTACGTTTGGAATAATTCTCACAACGTACCATACTACAAATAAAAAGTTCTGACATTCTCACATTTAGTTACTTGAAATGTCTTACTAAATATTTGATGTATTTTTGTCAATAAAAATATAAAATATATGTCCTCTTTTTTTCTGCAATAGTCCTATATCTTCGAATTTCAATGATGTCTCGCCATAGCAATAATGTGATTGTTTCTTAAATTAAAAAAAAATGCAAACTTATCCTCATTAGTGAACTATTATTTTCCTAAAATTAAATATATTTACAGCACATTCTGTAGAACATATTTACTTATCACAATAATAATTTAGTTTCCCCTCCTATAATATTAATATCCAGGAAATTAATCTATTAAACAGCGTATTTTTTTACACATTTTTAATCTGCTAATAGTTTTATACTGGCATTTCCAACCTTTTGCTTTCATCAACCCATTTTAAGATAATTGTTTGCTCTATCTGTTGCTGTTTTTCAGAAAATATTTCTGCCATTTCGAAAATGCGTGATATTGAGCTAATTGACTCTTCCTTCAGGAAACTTAAAAAAAATATCCTTTAAACTAGATTTTTTCTTAGCAATCTACATTATAAAATATTGCGATTATGTAAATATTAATGACATAAAATATTACATGGATACACATCTGTAAAAAAACAAAAAACGAGTTTAGTGAAAATGAGGCTTCTGGAATGTAATTCACTGAATTGCGCTTGATCCGTACAAAATTTGTTTTTATAAGGGAACATTGCTGTATTGGAGCAAAAAGAATTACAGAATTAAAAATTGCATTTTAGAGAAAATTTTGAATTTGAAGGTTTAGATTGCTGCATTGCCCACAAATGGAATGACGAAAAAAAATATTTATCTAGGTCCACTTAAACGTGTAATTTCGTAATACTCTATGCATCAATTTGTTACACTGATACGTAATATTCTCCATACTACGTATACTACAAGATAAGCAACCCCGGAAAGAAAAAAGAAGCAGTGTGAAATGAGAATAATTTTATTGTAAATCGTGTCTAAGTGCAGTTGAGAACCAGTTTCATTCTGCTTGGGTACTCTGACTCATCCTCCGGCTTCCAAAGGTAAAGGAAGAACTTTGTCACGGCATAAAATGCCGTTGCGTGAAGTACTGCAAACGAAAGAAATGATTAGCGGTTTTTGCCCTTTCATAATGCCTGTTCCATCTCTCTTAGCGGACTCATAACACATGTTTCTTCACTGTGTTTAACAGTGTTTAACGATATTTTGACATGTTGTTCCCTAGAAAGTTTCATTCATATTTTCCTTCTGATTCGGTCCTTCTGGTGATTCCTCAACACTACTTGTTTGTTAATATAGCTTCATATGCGCACGCTTTGTTGAACTTTCCTTTTGCTTATAGTGGTGGTAGAGGTGGGAATGGAGCTGCGGGAGAGTTACTATTTTTGACAATACAGAGAAAGAAAATCTGGAGTTGGTTTGCCGATTCAGTTCAATTTTCTATAACTCGGGAACGAAAATGTATAGTTATTTTACAAATGTTGCTAATCTCAAGCTTTTTTCAACCTTTTAAAAAACTTTTATACATGTATCAACTATTTTTAGTTCAAATGTTTGCAAGGGGTTCACGAACTCAAGATAACGTGCGCAGTTGATTTTCTCCCCCCATACGTCATGTAGAGTTTTTACCGTTTTTTGACTAAATAAATAAAATTAACTCTTCTTATAATTAAAACTCCCTTCGCGCTCATTTTGTTGGTCTTATGAGTTATTATATTGACATATTGATGAAGAATTTGGATGAAAGTTTACTGTTTAAGATCCTTGTATGGGAAGTTTTGAGTTACGGTTTTCACAATTGGATTGTTTTTCAAAGTTACGTAAAAATTATCACGAAAGATTTTCGCTTCCAGGGCGTACTTTATCGCATACATAAAATAAGCATTGTGCTTTAAGGTCGGTCGGCTCTTATGACTTTGTACAAGAAACATTTCATCTCATAAGCTCTCACATGGTATTACTGTGGAAGCCCGCAATGAATACGTTGAATTCATAAATGCTTACCGACCACTATTATAGCAAAGGCGACAATGAAGCCTATATTGAGGCTGTTGGCGGAACTGACGTGCAATCCTTGCTTTATGGCTATGTGGACACCGCCGTAGAAGACTGGTCCATAAGCGATGGTGAAGGACAATAGCAGCCAAGGAACCAGGTGCTTGCGCCGTTTCTGCGCAGGAGACCGGAAGTTATTGACACAAAAGGTAGTTTATTAACAGCTTTTTTCATCTTACCGTAACTTACGTCAATTACAAAATTATTTCATTAAAATTTTGTCAAATATTTCATTAATCTTCGTATTACAATATTATATGTTGATTCATTCTTGTACATTATGTTATAATTTCACGAATTGTACCTTTTATAACCAGTAATGCCTAGAAGGGGACAACGTTCCTCATTCCCCGACTTAATTTGGGATTCAAAACTTGGCTTTCATTAAAAACGAATAAACGTTTTTAAAATTCAAATGTATCGCTACATGTTCTTTGTAGCACGGAGATATGAATTCTGGTTATGTAAGGGGTGTGAACACTTTTACTTCAAATAAGGGTCCCCGTGAATCTTCTGCACCAGGCCACTTGTTTTCTCTGATCTCCATTGTTTGTAATTTTTTCTTCTTTTTGTTCAATTTTTAATTTTCAATATCACATTATTTCACTTGTATTTGTTTTTCTGTTCAAACAGCGGTTTAAATTGATTACTTGTGATTCCGGGCGCGTCAACTGCTAAGGTTATTAGTTTCGCAGTTAAGAGTATTGCATGCTTTCTACTCGGGAGCTGGTTTTCCACCGCTCGATGGCGAGATCGGGCGCAGACCTACCGTCGGCTAACGGGATTTTCCCCCAACCAGGTGTCTCTCACCAGCGAGGCCCCACCCCAGTTGGCACAAGCTCTAAAGTCCCAACCAGTTTCCCGGTATGTGTAGTGGTTAAGTGCATGTTGTAATTGTAGCGTGTGTAAGGGGTAACACTGGGCAAGGAATGGGAGGGAAAGATCGCGCGCGGCCCGTGGCCCGTTTGTTAGGGTACTGCTCCGGCATTCGCCAAGTGTTGATCACAGAAATCACGGAAAACAGTAGGGGGCCTCTAGAATTCTTCTCCAGTTGGCAAAAGAACGCGACCCAGCTATCTAGCTAGTGTCAAAAATCCTACCACCGCCGAAACTATAACTCCAGAGTGTCAGGTGAGATACTGCAGTGACATCAGTTGTTGCCCTGAGCCACCTCTCCCGGTACGTAATTTCAATATTTATATTATTTTTTAGGGCTGTAGATGACCTGAATGCGGTCGAAAATATTGCAAAGTTACAGAATAATGATAAAAATACGCCTGATATTTTTGTTTCTAATGAAGACACACATCAACGAACACATCTAATTAAGAATAACATATCAAACTATGCACAACCTCGAACTAGGATATGGATACTAGGACTACAAAAATAAATTTCTTACCCAAACAGCGCCGTGGATGAGCAAATAGCCCACTATGCCAGCCAGACAGCCGAAGACTATCATCAATAGATCCAGAACTACAAACACTGCAACAGAAACCAACAGCGTAAATTCCACTGATCTAGTTGAAGGACGTCCATTTTTTTGACAAATTCATAAAATACCTGCTCATAAAATTTAAGTCATCAGCATACAAGAAAGCTAGTAATGATTCATGTACAATTACTTCTTTAGCAGAAAATATTAACAAAGCATATATAATAAAAAATTAAACTATCTAGTTCTACAACAGCAATTACTTTCTCATAATATTGATAAAAGTTACGTAATATTATTATAATTCTCTTTTCCTCCATATTTCTTCCAGAACAAGCAACTTTAAACAAATAACTCATCAAAGGCACGTGTTAAATGAAAAACCCTAACATCATATAAAAATAAATTTTCGACACATCATTAATAATGAACTCAATACCAGGATCAATTACCTGAACCAATGTACTTTCAATAAAACGCAAACATAATTCGCGGCTTGTTGTAGACCAAGACTGAAAATGGTATTCCTCACACCCGCATCAGCTCGCGACTATTGAAATTATTTTTTGAAACCAACTTTGAAATTGTTATTCGGGCTCGGCCATTCGGAATATCCAAGGTGTTTATTAGACAAAATATGCTTAAAATTGCCTTAAGAGTTTATTTTCGAAGTTTCCTCCCTGTATAGCTCGCTGCTGTGAGAAGGCAGCCCGAGGGCGGTATGTTTATGTTAAAGCATTATTATTTCCCGGAAGGAAAGCATGGAAATTACAAGAATATTCGCCTAGACAGGGGGTGATTTCCACTGTGCTATGAATGTAGCAGTGGCGCCTCGTGGTTAGATTTCACAGCCACCAGATAATTGGTACAATCTTGTAATACGTTGGACATGTATATGTTTCTGCTTCTTTCGCTCACCAATGGTAACTTTCAATATAAGACGTTTAAACGGATGAAGAACACATTCTTGCTCATATTTGCATTACGCTTACAGTGTTAACTATCATGGTAATTACCGCATACTACCATAGTTGTCGGAATCTTAAAGCTTGTCCTGGGTTGGTGGCCCGGATAAAGTATTCGGCGGGAGAAATCTCCCGCAAACCTACCCACGGGATCTCACGAACCGTAGTCGAGGAATACTGCCAGTTCCCAGAGTAAACATCATTCACTACGCTACTGGAACTAATGACTGTATCAGCCGACGATTGATTATTGTTAGTTATTATGGGCGCGTCAACTAACAGGGTAATTATTCCCGTAAGTGTTGTGCATGCTTTTTTCTCGGGGAGTACCGGTGAACCTACCGTCTGCTAGCGGGGGCTCCCCAACCAGGTGTCTCCCACCAGCGGGGCACCGCCCCAGCCGACACAATCTGAAAGCTCCCGACCGACCTCCCGGCATGTGCGCTTGTGTAGTGCGTGTAACTGTAGAGGTGCGTAAGCGAAGAGGATAGCTCAAGGAAGAGGTAGGAAAGATCGCGAGCGATCCGTGGCCTGTTTGGTAGGGTACCGCTCCGGCATTCGCTTGGTGTTGGTCGGGAAAACCACGTAAAACTACCGATCAGAGCAGCCGGCCCGCTAGAATTCTCCTCCAAACAGCGACTGAATTCGTGCTAGATGACAAGCGCGTGTCGAAAGTCCTGCCACCGTCAGGACGCGAACTTGGACCTCCCGGTCTGAGGGACTGCAGTGCCTTGAGTTGATGCCCTCAGCCACTTCTTCCGGTTCAGCCCCCGAGCTTGCAGCAACACAAAGCAATGCGCCTCTGCCGACCGGAAGTGCCCAGTACCTCTCTGGACAGGCTGCTCCACCGACGCGAAGACCGCCCACGAGTCGTGGTGGAGCTGCGTGTGTTGCCAGGTGCGCTCCGCCTCCAGCGAAGCTTCGCACCTCTCCCGGTCTACCTTGGTCGGTTGCTGCCGGCCGGCGGGCGACACTCTTTCACTGCGTGGTGGCTGAGCATCTGCCAAATCAGGGCAGTAATACGCTCTTAACAGATGTGCGATGTTTAAAATTGCCTTCGTGAAACGTCATTATATATTTCTCAGAACGTGTGCGTGGGCATGGTGATAATCCTTAAACTCTCCTAAATAGGAGCCAGAAGAACAATTATTTCGAATCATCCAGTAATAGTCGTGATTGTGAAACAATTGTCAGAAAATCATAGCACCTACAAAGATTGCGGAATGTGTCACGTAGTCAAATAAAAATTTCATGAAATAATGATTACGTTTATTAGGTAGAAACAGAATTAATAATGAAAATGGTTGCTAATGTTACTGATGTGAGAAGCTAGTAAATAATTAATATTTTTGTAATTTTTGGAAAACGTTTATTTCATCGCATAGAGTACTTAGTACTATAGTATTACCAAACGTTTAAAGAAACAATTTGGAATCATTTTAGATCAAATCTTCTTTTCATTATTGTTTAAAATTGCACATATTTCATGCATGCTGCGCAAAAATTACACATATTAAAAATATACATAACCGTAACGAAAGAACTAATTATGGACAACAAATTTCTTTTGAAGGAAAAATCTCTTATCTTCAATTTTGAAGTTAAAGGATGACGCCGAAAAACTTTTTTTGCAGTTACCGAAAATTCCAAATTAACACTGAAAATCGGACCTACTACTTCTTTATAAGTTTATTTTACTTTATTATTAGAAACTTAAAGAAAAAAATTGTAGCAATTTCAACGGAAATTTTGAAAATGTCCCAAGAATTTCATGTAAGTACCCTAAAAAATATTACATGTTTTTCAAAATCTCAGAGCTTCGACTTAGGCCAGATTGACAGGGGTGTATTAATTTGGAAAAAATGCATACCTAGTTTAAGCGCAAGTGTTGTTCACATACATCAAACGGACGGACGTTACGTCAATCGGTTTTTCCGTATCAAGGACACACAAAACATGGATTCTGAATACACCACGTATTAGAGGATCCCCCCCCCCTAAATTTAGAAATTGGATTTATCCACTGTTCGGCTACCAGGGCTCTTCGTTTGCTGCCGAAAATTTGCCGTTTTCTCGCACATATCTTTCTCTCTACTGCGCAAGCGGTAGGAGAGAGCAAGGGAACGATGTGAAAATGTGGTGCACCATCTGCCGGATCACCTGGTTGTGCATCCGGATTATCCATCGCTTTCCGCTGCGTGTCGCCCTGTTTTTCGGGCGCTTGGGGGTGTTTGCTGCCGAGCTGGTAGCTGCGAGTGTCCTTGGTTAATATGCTGAAATCGCACATGCCTAGCATACCGTCGTCGATGGCTCGGTTCAGTACCGTTAAGATGTAGTCACGCTGGCCTGAGGCCCGGAACATGCTGTCGCCCTTGTACATGCTCTGGAGATCGTCGAAAAAGGCATACGAGTAGCCGATAATGATGCAGATGCCCAAGACCTAACAACAACGTAACAAACATGTTTGATGGTTTTACTTTCGAGACATTTATTGGTTTGTAAAACGAAAAATTGTGTATTTTTAAACTTTGATCTATGTTTATAGCTCTCTATGAGCAAACACTATCCTGAACCATACTCAGGAGTTACTCCAAAATGTTTATTCCTTTATCAAAGTGATTGAACTCTGAGACCTACGAATTTGAATTGAATCTCTCATTTTTCGGCGTATTTTAAATGAAGTTTCTGAAATATTTGCATAATATTCTCGAAAATGGCTCCGAATTCATTGATAAAGTTTTAGTAGGATAGGCATTAAAATATTGTACGAGAAATACTATGTAATCATTGCTAATAGCAGAGAAAATACGTGTACCACCAAAGTAACTAATAGAGCTAAAGAGCTCGTAATTTCTCGCCATTAGTAATGGTTTGTAATACTATTTATACCACAACTACTATCCGAATTATTTTTTGTACTAATTTGAAATCGTAGAACATTTGGTGCGAAAAATAGGTAGAATGCGAAAAAAATCAAATAATTAAAAGTTAATAAATAATACAATACTAATAACGTTGGCAAACAGATAAAAAATATAATAGTAATTATTAAACACCATGCTATTGCAATATTCCACACAGACATAAAAGTATTCATCTTTATAACCGCGAACGAAAATCAGCCGTAATTTTCGCCTTTGTTATATGTGCGGTTATCTGTGTGGGTTTCCGAAAAATTGTACATGACATTATTTCAAAATTATCTTCAAGGAACAAATTGTCGTAAGGGAAAATCTCTATCTTCATAATTGTAGTTGTAGGAAGACATTGAAAAAGTTTTGATTTTTTAAGTTTTCGAAATATCAGGATTTTCAACGAACATGAGATCTACACTATACTATTCAAACTTTTTCACACAAATCAATAACAAAATTTAATCAAAATTATGGAGTAATTTTTTGAAAATTTTTAAAATGCCCTAGGGGCTTCATGTACCCCCGAAATTAAAATATTAGTTTCATAGTTAAGGACCATATTTATCAGTCAGATCGATTGGAGAATACATTTTGGAGAAAATCGACTTAACAGTTTAGCCGCTTGAGTTTTTCACGGACAAGTTTTGCCATTAATCAATTTTTCAGTATTAAGGATCCATAAAATAGGGATTCTGGCTCGTGTGAAAAATTTAGCAACAGAATTTATCCACTTTTCGTCACCTGGGCTCTATAATAAGAGTTTTATTTTCCCAAAATTCGCGGTTTTATCGCGCAGCATTACATAACTTTCTCTTCTTAGGAAGCTCCTTCTTAAGAGCGAAAAAGTAAAAATATTTCGTTAAAAATAAAAGTTGTGTCGATATTAAGGTATTGGCTGCAAGACATTGACTTTCAAATCGCCGTTTGATGAGTGGGTTTAATTTAGTTTTTTATGTATGGCCTATTTAGCCTGAAAAGATTTCTTATGTCCCCATTAGCTCTGATAGAATAACATATTTGCCTAATTACCTGTATTATTTCTTGAACAAACACAAAAACGTATTTTAAAAAAATGTAAAGGCTTGTTAAAGTATTAATTTTTTCCCGCCTGTTCTGTAATCTTAATTTTTAACATATTTTAAACATAAGCGGAAGATCGAAATCCCATCTTTCCCAAATGATGACTACTCTGCTGAATATAGAAAGCAACCCTAGACCTATAACGAGCAGCTGTAAGTTAAAAAGGATTTTGTCCGCCAATTCAGGATATGTATGGCCAAAAGAGACAAAAGTAAATGAGGAAGTAAAGAATAGTGTGTATCGAACGTTGTGTTTAAATGTTGTTGGACTGTGTACTTCTCAGTAAGAAAATGTCTTGTGCAGCATTCACCTACTCAAACATATTCAAACGACAGTGACATACATCATTTTATAGGTTAATCTTGGAATCTAGATTGACTAACCTGTATATTATAATGTAAAACTTTATATAATGTTTATTAAAATTATGAATTCCCCATTCTTAACGCAGATTTATGCAATGTAATGGCTTATGGTAAGAAATATACGTCCAGATTTAAATTTTAAAAAATGAAGGAAATGTAATTTTAAGTCATACAAATATCAGTTTGTTTGTTCACAGCATCAACTTTATAAATAAACAAATTTCCTACATCTGGTAATTTTCCTCTGTTCCATACCTTTATGTTACATGAGCACTTCTTGAGAAACAACGATGATAATTCGTTATTTATTTACTGCAATACTTTTTGTGTGTCAAGTTGCTTAGTGATACCTGCTTTGCTGCTACATTAATGGTTGTTCTAATTATGAAAATAATAAGAAAATAATGCAAATAAATCCTGGGGTTTCAACTAACATAATACCTACACTATTATCTTAAACGATTTCACACGATCCAACAAAATCTGAAACGATGGAGCAATTTTTTGAAATGTCCCAGAGGCTTCATGTAAAGTACCTTCTAAATTTAAATTTCGGTTTCAAATTCAAGTGGCCGCGATATCTTTCTTTGGAACCATCTTTCGGCAAGAAGGTTTTACGGTTAATAGGGCTCTGAACTTACCCATGTCATAATTCCAATGAATACAAGTACCCACCGAAGATGCCAGTTTCCTGCTTCAGGAACACCGCACTCGCCCATCTTTTTTCTTGACAAGCTGTCAGAACATTTTATCAGTATGAAGTGCTGTTCCACAGAAAACAAACATTCACTATAGTGAAAATATGTAAGACCGAAAATATTAACTTTAGAATCTACACAGAATTTCATATAAAAGCGATGGAATATAACTTAGAAAAGTAATAATTTATTTTTAATTTATTTTAATTTAAATTTAATAATCGACATAAAACTTACAAAACCTGGCATATGGCAGATAAACATAATCTAGCATTTTCAGAGACAAAACAGATAGATTCAATACTAAGAAACTACTAATATTTTCAAACAAGTATAGAACATTAATTTGAACTATAGGTGAGAAAGCAGCAGGTACTCTCTCGTCTGAACTTTCAGGCAAAATTACGCATATTTTGAAAAATTGTACATGACCTTCAAAATTATCTTCAAGGAACAGATGTTATGAAGAGAAATCTCGGTCTTCATAATTGTAGTTGTAGCAAGACTCCGAAAAAAATTGTTCTTTCGCAATTTTCGCAAATTTTCTTAACGAACATGAGACCTACATCATTCTCTCAAAACTCCATCACACTATCCAACAACAAAAAATAAAAAATTATGAAGTGGTTTTTTGACAATTTTAAAAATGCCCCAGGGGCTTGTTGTGAAGTACCCCCAAAATTAAAATATTGGTTTGAAATTCAAAGACCAGATTCATAAGCCAGATCAATTGGGGAATATCAATTTTGGAGAAAATCGGCTAACGGTTTGGCCGTTAGCGTTGTGGACAGATGGACAGATATTCGCCATTTGATTTTTCGGTATCAAGGGCCCAGAACACATGAATTCTGACTACACTACGTCTTAGAGAATTTTTTTTCTAAATTTAGCAACGGAATTTATTCACATTTCGGTACCAGGGCCCTGTTATTTTCTGTCGAAAATTTGTCGTTTTTTCTCGCATTACATAACATTCTCCCTACTGCGTAAGTGGTAGCGAGAATGTAAAACTAGTTGCGTGGAACAAAGTACATTAAAATCATCTCTAATTCCATTATGTAGTTGTAATGGCGTGCAAAAATGTTAAATCGTCTGCAATTTATCAAAATGCGCAGTTAACAGTAAAAATCAGACCTATGTAATTTTTGGGTGTGTATTTTACTCTATTCTTACAAATAATTGTCAATGACATGAGTATACATATGGTTATAATGAATATATTAGTGTCTCATTTATTTTAATGTAATGCTTTTTGTGAATTTAGTATTTTATCAGTACTGAGTATTTTTTCTATAAGAGTTTATTTATTTTGATATTTCGACCCTATTTGGAGTCTTTTTTTAAAAATCTAAATTATAATTAAAGTTGTGTTCATGGAATAGGATGGTCATGTTGATTACAATTATAAAGAAAATATATTTTCCTTTCAGTCTAAGTACTAATACAGTTTTTAGAATTAGAATAAAAATATGATCCATTTTAATTATTAATATTTTTGATCAATTCCTCGTAAATGTGATCTTTTATTGTTCACTCCTAATTTACCTACAAAAATGCTCGTTTTTAATGCCTGTTTTAGTAAAAATAAATGCCCTATTGCCTATTTTAAGTAAAATAAACGCCTAAACTTCCATGCTCTAATAAATTTTTATAAACATATTTAAAAAAAATAAAGTATGTATGTTTATAAAATTTGTCAAATAAAACTTGCATGACGGTATTTTTGGCGTACTAATTTTAAAAAATCCAATATTTCATTCGTACGCCAAAGATTCATGTTCTTTGCTAGTTACGTAAACATTTAGTTTTTCAATGATGCAAGAGCAGGGCGAAATCAAATTGCAAGACGTGGGGTAAGAGAACTTCCGTACGTCAACTTACATTTGTCCCTAATTTTGCCTTCTTTGAATTACGTAGATAAGTGCCGTCATAACGTTTTTTATCGATTCTGATCTACTTCCATCCAGTTGTTTGTTGAATGTACTCGTCGGAAAACACCCACGTGTTTCTGGGGTTATTTCTAATACTGTTGCATGTCACAAGAATGCACGTTGTGGCGTTCAAGAGTCCGGTGACACACCCCATCTTGTAGGCGGCAGCCCAGGCAGAAAAAAGAGGAACAAATTACAGTTCTGGATCCCATTTTCCATTGAAGTTATTCCTTTAGACATGAAATATGTCACTTTGGTTGGTTGGTCAACTTTGTTTGAATGGTACATGAAATCGATCGTGGCCTGGAATAGAGACACAAGTCAAAAAAATGTGCGTTAATGCACTCTCCAGGATTGCCAATTGGTCTACATTACAATAGAATATCTGCCGTATTCCTCCAAAAATGGCAGGAGTGGAATGCGAGAGTTATGCACTTCATTTCAAGGTGAAAACTTTGAACTCATTTACATTAACACCCGATTGCTTGAGTTGTGTCACTATTGGATCTCACAAACAACAAATAATGGTATTTGTTGAAGACCGGAAGTAAAAATCTTTTTTTTTTCCTAAATGCGGAACAAAAATGAAAAATCTGCTGTCTCTTGAGATATTTTTACATTCTACAATAATGAAACCAAAGCGTAAAGGGGATCGAAATACAATGACTTTTCCTATTTATGATATGCGTACAAAAAGTAAACTATAGATGACGACTCACGAAACAACGAACTTCCTGATTTTCGTAGAGGTGAAAATCTAGCAATTTCAGCTTGAGAGAGATGACGTCTCATTGCCGACCTCGTCGCCTACGAGAGAGACTGTCTGAGGCGTCCAACTGTGACATCAGCAAAGCCGTGCTATGGGCAATAGTCAGGGTCGCGGGCAAAAGGTCAGACTATCTCAGGATAGTAATACACTTTTCTTCTAATTCCCCAATAGAAACAGAAAGCTGTATTCAGCTTTAAATGTATAGTTTTATTACGATCTTTTTTTACTCTAATATTGCCTTATTTTAACTTTCTCTGTATGTCATGCAATTTTTAAACTATAGATAAAATTAAAGTTGGTAAACATATTTCCATGAGATATGTAAATATTCACCAGTACACGCTAAACAAAATGTAACAAAAGAATCTGGGAAAAGAACGAAGAAAGCTAAATTTGATGGCTATATATTTTGTTCCGTTTTAAATTTCTTGAGCCGACCTTAAACATTTAGTAATAACAATGTTATTTCTTAGCGTTATTAAATGACTTAGACATATATATGCTATTATTATTATTATTATTAATAATAATAATAATAATAATAATAATAATAATAACAATATTATTATTGTTATTATCATCATCGGGTGAGGCAACTATTTGGTGCTTCCTTTACAGCTATAAAGTTGGTTTTATATGCATTGCGAAGGCATACAATAGGCTATCGCTATAGCGGCTATCATCGCCGGCAATCATTGCCATTAACAGCCTATCGGTAACGTTTTTTGACCTTCGAAATAAAATTGAAAATTGATTTGTGTACCTCAAAAAATTATCTTCCCAAATTTTCATACAAATTCCTAACAAAATCAATAGAATTGTGTTTGTGCATTGTTTGTAGATACTGTGAATCTGAATTCTGGAGGTACTGTCAAATTACTCCTACCATTCTCAGATAAAGAATCACTGGGTGTATCCACATTTAAAAGTTTGTTACTTTACATCCAAGCCATACACAAATTATATTTCTTAAGGAAATGTTATTTCATGGCTTATGCAGATGTTAACAGTACCATGGAAAAAATATTTTCTGGGATGCCAGTGAAAGACAAATTATACTGAAGTCAGCTCTTCACTGAAGTCAGCACTTCTATTAATACAAGAGCATGGCTATAAATTCTTAAGAAACACAGCATTATTCGTGGAAAAGAGAGAAAACAACCTTGAATCTCAATTCTATCTCTACTTTCGTAAGCTGAATGTATTATTATAATATTATGATAATTTGTTTCACTATGCTGCCTGTATGATGAAATCTTCAGCCAAGTTGTCACTTTGGAATTTTTCTAACAAAATGTATCTAACATTATTTCTCAAATATATGTCCGTCCGTCATTCCGTCCGTCCGTCATTCCGTCCGTCCGTCCTCTGCTGAAGAACGCTTATCGAAAACCGGGGCGTCGAGCCAAAACTCTCACATTAGCTTATTTTGGAAAGAAGTAGAAACACCATCAATTTCAAAACAACGAAAGCAGCAGCAAACCATATCATAAAATGTTATATACCACTAAAGACCAAAAACCCAATTCCGAAATGGAGCAATGTCTCTTATTACCATACTATTCATCAATGAGCACAATTCTCACTTTTCTTCCGTTATGTTTTCTTTATCTATACATTGTCAAACCATGCGTTATGAGTCATAAAGAAATTACCTTTCAAGCAGCAGCTTTAAAAAGGTCTCTTCTCGAATGAAAAGGTCAAGCCGGTAGCAAATAGGCGAACAAAACACTCTCCTCGGTGTGTTTACAGCTATGTCCACCAACGAAATAACTGATTTCTGATGCTCTCTCTGAACTCCCGTGACGTTGCTCCTGCTTCGCCTCGATTGGTCAGTAGAATAAGTGCGATATCTTTCACAGAATAAATACTGGCTAGTCTGCGCTTACGTCTTTTCGAGCGGGCAGTTCAATTGCTCTCGTCGTTCTCAGTTATTTTTTTTTTATTTTCCGTACGAAAGTCAATGATAACAAAATAAACCCTCAACATTTTAAAAACTTTTCACACAAAAATTTCCGGGTTTTGTGATTAAAATTGTTCTTTGGATATTATAAAGAACACTCATAATTTTGGCACAGACTCCATTTTCGTTGAAATTCCTGAATTTTTCAAAATTGTTGTGCTGCTACGGAATGTACTTTTTCGGATTGTTTCTAACTTTTTCGAAATCTTTTTCGTCTCTGAATTTACGAAAATTCAGATAGATCAATGAAAATGAGACCTGTGCCATTTTAAGCATTCTTAGACAAAAGTACATATCTTCAATTTTGTACTTGCGGAATGTTTGCGGAAATTGGAGTCATCCCAAGTTTTTATTATCGACGTTTGATTCATTCGATGTAAACATATAAAGAAAGAATTTGGAACCTCTTTTGATGAAAAATATGTCTTAAAATAGCTTATATTTCACGTAAAATTAGGCAAATATGACTCAACTTTGTGGCAACGTCTTGTATACACGACGATAAGCTGACGTTAAATCGGTTTTGTTGAACGAATTTGGTGTACATTAATTTGGTGTTATGCATAAAAAGATCGATTTGAAGCAGGCATTTGATCTAGAAATTAAAACTTAATTTAATGTTGCCTACGATGGGTCTTTGTGAACTAGAACAGTGAATATTTCTCAGAAATAAGAAGTTAATTTCCCAACGTATACTGCTCTGCACAGAAAGAGAGAGAAAGAGAGAGAGGTACATGAAATCCAGATAGCGTTGCTCCAGAATCTAGTGCATGAGGAGAAAAATATACTGGCAAATTTCATGTCATATAATGTGATTTGTTTTACTAAACTTTTAGAACATTAGTATACAATTCAATAATTTGCCTTTTAACTTCATTAAAATTTAATGTAATAATTTGTTGTACTTGTAGATACAAAATCTTGAATCTATTTAGTATCCTAGTCTAATGACCAAACATTAATAATAAGATAACGAAATTACCGTTCATTTTCCCATCAACAATTGAAGTATTAAACTATACATTACATTATTTTATAGTAACAATAATTAATGTTTTTTAATGAACATAGATTCAAAACATGTAAAAAAGAAAAGGCATGGTTGCATTAAATTTGAGAGGGGTCTAGTGTTTTGCTTCATTAACCTCTCATGCTTACTTAAAACCATCATTTGTTCTGGGGTTTCTAATCAATAGTCATTTTCAACGTCTATCAAGAGAGGTAATTATGATGGCACTGATAGTTCCGACTCTCAACATAGTAGTACAAGTCTGAGTCGGATTCACCTCTGCACGTACGAAAGAACGTTGTTCAATTTGAAAAGCATGGAGTGGCAAGAGTTAATAGTATTAGTTGCAATTTATTGCATGTTAAGTGTGGGTAATGTATGGTGTGCCAACAGTCGGTTTCTTCTTCCGGTGAATAAAACTGTCACACAAAGAAAGTATGAGCGTGTTTCAAAATCCGTTAAATTCGGCATGCCCAGGGGCTTTTTCACTTCCGACACAGACTGCAGCCGCAACTGGACACGCAGTGGCTGGGACGCAGATCTCATGTACATCCTGGCCGCTCACACGGGCAACACAGCCGGCTGCGTGAACGTGCGCAAGAGCCAGGTGTTCCCCAACGGCACCCTGACCGGCGGAATGCTGGACTTGGCGCTGGGCAGGGTCGACGTGTACGGGAAGGGCAAGTACCAGGAGCCGGGCCTCGCCCGCCTCGCCACCCTGTACCCGCACAAGCAAGACGATATGTGCGTGATGGTGCCGAAAGCCGCGTTTGCGCCGCGCCGCCTCGCCATGCCCGCGTTCTCCGCCGACATCTGGGCGGCGACGGGCGCCAGCCTGGGCGCGGTCGCGGCCGCGCTGCGGGCGGCCCACGGCTGCTCGGGCGCGCGCCTCTTCCTCGAGGTAGCGACGACGTTCATTGCTCCTGCGGGTGCTTCTCGCACGGTGGCAGAGCACTGCAACTAACATATTGCGACTAGCAATATTAATACAATTGTTATTTTAAATCATGTTTAGACAATAATAATAGTAATAATAATAATAACATAACAATAAAGACAATAATATTACAAGAAAGACATTAATAGCATTAACTCATAATAACATTTATGACTGTTCTGCACAGATATTTTAACTAATAAATACACTTTTTAAATACATTTCTCTCCACTCCCCTTCATCCCACTCTACACCACCCCACGCCAGTCCAATTCACTCCACTTCACTTGTTCACTTCACTCCACTTCACTTGTTCACTTCACTCCACATTACTTCACTCCACTCCACTCCACTTCGCTTCTTTCTACTTCTGTATTGTACTACACCTCACAACACGTCACGACACTTCAATTCAACTACTGATTTGAATGCAATTATATGTTGAGTAAAGCGATGCAATTAATAGTAATTATCACAATACTAGTAATAACAATAACAATGATAATAAAATAACTGTTTAATAAGCCTAACTTAATAATTAATAAATTTTACAAATGTCCTTGGTTAATATAATTTTAAATCTTTGTACACCCAGACGAAAGGGTTCCATGTCTGTCGAAGGCAACTTATTCCAGTCCAAGGTAGAGAGGAATTACTCTAAGATGGAAACCCGGAGAGGTGGTGCAAGGCATCAACCGATGTCAATGCAATGCCTCTGGACGAGAAGTCACTGAGTTCTATACCCAGCAGTGGCTTCTCTGGTAGGTCGAATTTAGTGGTTGATTGGAGAGGAATTCCAGAGGCCGTCCGATCTAATCAGAAATATTCCGTGATTTCTCCAATTAATACCAGGCGATTGCCGGTGTAGTGCCCTAACAAACGGGCAATTTTCCTTCCTCTTCCTTGTCCTATCCTCACCTCTTGCACACAGATGAACATGCACTACACATTTCGGGAGATGCATTTGTTCGAAATGGATTTCAAAGGTTCATACAAGAGTAGGTTTTACTCTTCTATAATATCCATAAAGGTTTGCACCATTAGACAGTCGCAAAATTGTAAAAATGTAAAAAATGGTCCTGCAGGCGGCAATATATGGTGTTAAGGCTGCGAAATATTGCTTATATGATTGAGTGAGTATTTGCAGAAACTGAGACGAGACGATCTATGCATCGCCTTTCTGTGTTCTCGTCAGACGAGAAGATTTTGCAAAGACGACATATAATTGACAAGATAAACACTTTGCCGTAAGAATCATTTATTATTGAAGAGATAATCGTGGTTACCTTTGGACGAAAATAAACGTTCTCCTTACGTTATTCATGCTTTTGTTTCATACGTTTCGAAGAGCTGGTTCACAAGTTGAGTCTACAATTTAAAGCTTGTTGCCAACCAACTTTCAATTCGCCCAATACGCGCATTGTTTAGCTTCTCTGCACTATCGCAACGAAAATACTCGCGATTTTCAAACAAGGCGGGCTCGTCGCGTCTAATGTGGAAAAAATTGGATTCCGGGAAATCTGACAATGAGTATCCTTTCGTCGTGGCCGCTGAGGAGGTGGGGCGATCTATTGATCACTTTAGGAAGATCCGTTGCAAAGAACTTCCATGTCAAATGGATTCTCTGCTATTTGTGAGATAATTCACGATTTTGTGGGGCAAAATTAAAACTATCTCGAACGCGGGAAGTTTGAAATGCATTATATTTTCTTCTTAAATGTCATCAAAGAGCGAAATTGCGTTGTTGGAGTCGTGTCGACAAATTTGAATTAATATGGTCACCCTTGTGGGAACAGCTATTCGATTGAATACACCAGTCTTGTGAATAGGGTTGCCACTTTCGAGATGGAAGCCACCCGGAGATGATTGATTACCGGGAGGGGGGGGGTGAAGGTGCAGTAAAGTAAGTATTCAAATTCACAATCAACATTTTACTCTAGTCAATACATCTACTACAGATGGCGCCAAATTAACATGTTGATTAATTGATTCGAATTGATGATTTAAGAACAAATACTGAAAATTACAGATGTTTTCTTATGCATATATCACTGAAATCTGACAACCCTTGCAGAAAAAAACAATAATTGCCTGCATTTTCTGTAATTTATTGAAATTTCTATGAAATCATTCGATAAAATAAAATTATTCAACACAGATTAAACACTTTTTTAAAAAGTGAAAAAAGGTATTACATTTTGTATATAACCCGGAGATTCTCAACAGTAACCCGGAGCCCGGAGATTGTCTATGAAACCCGGAGTCACCGGAAGAGGTGGCAACCCTGCTTGTGAAAGTATTTGTGTTTGTTTCCGGGGCGGAGGTGGCGCGCACCTTCATAACGGGCGCCTTCAGCCGCCGCCTGCGCCGCACGCTGCTCTGGCTGAGCCTCCTGAGCTTCTTCGTGCTGAGCCTGTTCGCCGGCTGCTTCGTGGGCGCGCTCGTCGCCCCCGCGCGCGGCGCCGACGTCCACACCCTCGAGGCCGTGGACCGCGTCGTCGACGTGCTGTACGCGGCACGCATCGCCGCCGACGTCGTCGCCACCGTCCGCGAGGACGACCAGCCCGCGGTGGTCGCCCTGGCGCGCAAGATGGTCGTCGTGTCGGACTTCGAGCGCGCGACGCGAGACGCGGCGCGGTCCGGGACGAAGGGCATGCTGGCGTCCACCACGGCGCTCAGGAGGTTTCAGACGTTCCCGGGGGCGAGTAGAGATGGCTACTCGCTGTTCTACGAAGTCCCCGAGTGCGTGCTGGCTCCGGCCTACTACACCTTCGCTGTGAGAAAGGATTGGCCGCTTAAACACAAATTTACTCAACTGTTACTTCAACTTGTGGAAGGGGGCGTTTTCACCAAGTTGTACGTGGACGGTTTTGAGAAATTAAGAATGGAGAGTAGTTTAATCCGTTTGGAAGATGGAAACCCGCCGATTTCTTATAACGCTCTATCAGCAATAAATTTAGGTCCCCTGTTTATTCTCTGGGTAGCCGGACTCATGATCGCTATATTCGTTTTTCTTATCGAGATATGTGTTCAAGCGAAAAGGAGACCGAAAAGTAGTCACATCTTAGAGAAAAAGAAATGCAACTATTGCATTTCCGTAAAATCTTTTGGTCTCATATAAACATAAATTAAATAGAATTTATGAATTGCATTGTAGGTCAGCAAGGTTTCTTTCATATTTATTTATTTAAATATATAAATTAATTAATGAAATTGAATATATGAATCACATCGTATACGATTTCAGCAAGGTTTCGTTCACAATTTTCAAAGAGAACACAAACAAGTATACAGGTGTACTTTAGTCGTACTATCAAGAAATAATCGCATTTAGTAGGAGTAGTGGTGGTACAGAATGGCACAGACTTTATCGTACTATGAATTACGGGATTACCGATGAGGTGTTGTTGGCATTATTCAAGGATGAAAGTATGGTAATCAGCTTTGTCAATTTAGATTTATTTAGAGAGCAGTCTTTCGACAGCTTTGCAGTCAATATCAAATAAAAACGTACGATATAAGCATAAAATTGCATAAGAAAACAGGAGATACTTGGAATAATGCAAATAACGAAATTAAAATCACTTAATACTAAAAAAAGATAATAAAAAATAATAAAATTAATATATGTGCATTTTTTAAAACAATAAAAAATGTAATATCAAAAGATAAATCAGAATAAGTTGATCTGCTTTCAAACGTTGAGTGTTTATTTATTGAAATGTTTTCAAGCCCCACAGAAATCTGAAATTCTCCTCAATGAACAATCACTGACCCTGGTGTCGCTTCTAGTAATTATTTTCCACGTCCCTCCCCATCAATCTCCCCCGTTCGGTCCAAAACTTCTCCGACTCCTCACTCTCTTCCTCAGAAACACATTTAAACCCCTTTTCTCACTTCCCTCAGCGAAGTGTCTCCCGACCTTCGCAACATTATACCTACATATTTGCTAATTACATACATAATGCTCATAGTGCAAATATCCGTCGTTAATATTTACATTACATTATTTCATTTGCGAGTAGAAGTGTTTCAAATGATTTGCAATCAAGTTTCATGAAAACTCCAAAGTGTTCTGGATAAATGAGCTCAGAATTGGACATTTTTACAAACGTTGAAAAGACATTTTCTCAAAAATGGCTCCAAAGTTTTCAAAGAATATTTGCATGTAGGACCAGGTTTTACTCTTTTATAATATTAACAAAAACATATTTCAATTGTACCATTGTGGGAACGGCGAAAATGAGAAAATGTTAAAATGTGAAAAATATCCTTTACGCGGGAATAAATAACAGATGGGAAAAGGGTGGGGCAAAAATGAATATCCCCTTGATGATATTTAGTGTAAAGGATTTTTAACAACAGCTGTAGTGGTTTGCATTTAAATGTGGAATACGCTACAGCATACACTCCCGCCGTTTCAGCAACTCCTCATATGACAGTCTTTCTCTCGAGGATACATGGTAAGAATCAAATTCTTACTTTGCAGAATGGTCCATTTGACCTACATTTGTTGTCATTTAATGAGAAGTTAACTTAAATATTGATCACTTTTATAGAAAATTAAAATAATGATGCTATTCTGAATAGCAAACTTCTTACTGTAAATCGAACTATTTGAAATATATGTTTATTTCTATTAAATATACTTTTCATTCCTTTACTAACGTTTTTAAAAATGCAAGTAATAATAATAATAATAATATAATATAAATATTGTTTTTGAAGACCAATTGAACAAGAATAAAATGTGCACTTACGTATAAACATTCTAGTATTACAATAATTTTCGTCATAATCACATGTACGCACAAAATACAATATTTCAACATTTGAAAGTTTCTCTTTTTAAATTTTAAATAATGTTGACACAAATGTACATCAAATGTATTTCCTCATTTTTCAAACGGTCACAAACACACGCGCGTATATTTTTGTATATGACCTCACTTTGATTGAAATGTCATTTCGAGTATGAAGTGGTATCTCATGCACTACCTAATGAGTAACCCAAGGCATTCAAACAGCAGATGTCATAGAGATATATGCATAGGTGCATGTTGCATAGGTGGATGTTGTGTAGACAAATTATATATTATAAGTATGTGTAGATAAGTTACATATTATGACATAAAACAATAAACACTTTTGTACAATGTGTTTCAATTTTGACTTTTCTCCACACATCTCTGTGTTAGGAAAATAGTATATCTACAGGTTAGTAAATGACGTGTCCTTCCAAGTGAATATTTTAGACTTCCTTGCGTGTCTTGATCGATCATGGAAAACAATATGTCATTTCTGTCGGATACTAGGAAAACATTATTCATTAAAAATACAAAATTGAAAATGAAATTCAAAGAATGGGGGTGAATAAAGTCAAGCCATAACGGTAAAATTCAATTACAATAGTGTAAAAGTCGGGAAAAAAGTAATGAGTTTTCTTGTAAACGTAAAATTCAAGTAAATGGTAATTAAAATCACCACTGCCCAGAGAAAAGCTGAACCCCCTATCTTTGAGAGCAGTAATAATGGACCAGTTTAAGTGAAACCAGTTTAAGTTTTTACCAAAAACTAGCTTGTAACCTTTCTGTTAACCTTTCTGTTAACCTTGCTGTTAACTGAGCCTTGCTGCCACATAAAAAGTAACTGTGGAAATATCATTTGAAATTTTAAAGTTATCTTGTTTAGTTAGGAACGACAGGAATATTGATATTTAAATGATATATAAAAGATAAGTATAAATAATATTTATTCTATTTTGTTGACTTTATTAGTCATGTGCTTTTGGGCAGACAATATTTGTTTAATATTTTTATATCAACCCAATCAACATTTTTCTATTTCAATATAATCTATCAATATCTACCAGTTGCTACGCCTCCAATCACTTTTTTATAACAAACTACCGCATACGTTGGCAGCATATGTTGTTTCGCCCTTTATCTCTCTTTCTCTCTTGTCGATTTCTCCTCTCCCTCCCACCCCACCAGAAAACTTTGAAAATGTTTTTGAGTCTTCATGTAAAGTAAATCAAAATATCCGTTTTAAACTTCCAAATCCTCGAGTTCATTCAACTCAATCAGGGATTATCAATTTCGGAGAAAATCGTCTGAACAGTTTAGCCGATTGCGTAGACCACGAGCAGACAGATGGACGTTTTGTCATCAACCGACTTTTTGTATCAAGGACCCACATAACATGGATACTGACTACACCATGTGTAAGAGGAAATAATACTTGTATACTGCATAAAATTGTAGGGATAAGATTTATCCACTTTTTCGTTTTTAGGGCCCCAATAACAAGAGATCTCTGACTAAAATTCGTGGTTTCCGGCGGCACGATTACAATAATTTACCTTCTCACATTCGTAAGGGCGAGAACGTAGACTTTTGCACTGACAGAAAACTATGAATCAGAGGCTTTCATACTTCCCGTAAGGAACATTGAGTTTACTGTCATTATTGGATAATTTGATATCACTTCTACTATCGGTTTTCAGAAGTATGTACAATTTATTTGTAGTATCAACGTTTGTGTTTAGAGGCGATGCACAGCACTTGAGTGCTGTGAAGAAATAAAGTTCGATCTACAAATATTTGTGCGATAAGGAATAATCGTACATGTCTCTTGTCTACAAGAATGTTTTTGTCTACAGGTCTTCTCGTGATTTATTTCTTGTTCTGCTTCTAAGGAGTATCATGGTTATTTGATTTTATAGCTTATTATAGCTTAATTTTTTATCGTCACTGTAAAAAATTGTACACTGCCCAATATTGTACTAGTAGTCTGTGCCATTTTATTTAATAATCTTTCATTTTCTGATTCCTAAACATATATACGATATTCCAATTGATCAATAATTCATTCATACTATACATATTTTTAAAATAATAGTTATAAAACTAGTAAAATAGTTAAATTTGCTGTATCCCCCTCTCTCTTACTCACTCCTCGTCTCTCTTTCTCTCCCTCTATCTCTCTCTACTACTTTCAGAAAATATGAATATTTCTTCATTGTTACGAGTATAATGGGATCTAGAAAAAACTGAAGAGACATGCTAGCCTCTATTAATAAAGGATCTCCAAATCGGTATTGTAAATGTACTTTTTATTTTGTACATTCATTTTAATTGTACTTTTGCAGTTTCCTTTTATTTTCCTACGAATAAAATAAAAGAGATAAGATATTGTATTTCATAATTTTAAAATAAATGTTTTAGGAAAACCCAGACGCTCAGTCTGCAGTCGAGTAGACTACGCTAAATGACATTAAACGATTAAAAACGTGAAATATCTAAACCCCGCCCTCCTCTCGCATCTACCAAATCTGGGCTCAAGAAAACAAGCGCGAGTAATACCTCTTATGTCGCACTGATTCTGTCCTCTGATGGAGGGTATTAGAAAACAATATGCTCTCTGTCGAAAAATAAAAATCGTGGTGCATCTACCAACATATTTTTTTGAATTATTCATTTTCCGCTTTTCTCTTGAATTCATATTTACCAATTTTTGCCAGAACACTGCAACAATTCCAAAGATGAGTCTGCATTCGTTTCGGATCTATTCATATTCTACGTTTGATGGTAGGTACATGTCGTTGAATTCGCATTTATTAGCTTTCCACATCGTCAAGCTGTTCGAGTTATCTACCACTTGTTTCCTGCGCTGTTGGCAGCACTGGCCGAAGCCCGAAGTCCGGAAAGAATACACAGGATGTGCGAGTCGCGGTATGATTCAGTGCGGAGCAACATGTGCCGGCCGTCCACGCAGGCCCTGCGCCTCGCTGCAGTGGTGCTGGTGCCGTGGTATTTTGGTGCTGCGGTGCAGTGTTTGACGTTGATGATCGATCGTGCAACTGCCAGTTCATTGCTTGTCGAAATCAGCTGCGATAGCTGCGAATCCAATTCATTCATGTGGGAGTACAAAGTAAGATATTCTTGTTCTGTGATGGTCAACATTCGATACAAAAATCTCATGCACTCAAATACACATATTTGTAAAATAATAATTAAAATATCAGTAAGTGGTTTAATTCTTACTCTGTAGGTTGAATAAGAAGAATGTATGTTATAGTAAGTACGTAGCAGGTAACAGCGAAATAATTTGTGTGTGAAGGCAGAGAAAATGAGAGGAAAGAGATAGAGGGGGAAGAGAGGGATGGAGAGGGACGAGATGGAGAGGAGAGAGAGATGGGGAAACAAGAGAGTAGGAACTGATACGATAGAAGGGTTCTGTTAATTTTCATTTCCTTGACATGGGAGTCTTTTTACTTATTGTATGTGTTAGACATTGTATCTGTTACTTATTGTATCTGTCTTATAATGAGAAGTCAGTGTGCAGTAAAATATATGTGTGGCCGTCATTGTATTGTTTTGGCTGTTATAACATTTTACAGAATTATTAGATATTTATATTACTTCCTTCATCATTCATATTACTGTAACAAGGACAACGTACAACTTACCTATTTTAGAGTACAAACAATCTCAAGTTGTAATGTGTTTATTCCCAGACTTTTTCAAATTTTTCATGTGGTTCTCTTAGTATAAAACCTTGAGAAAAATCCGAATTATCTTATCTCTGCAGTATCATACAATTTCTATCTTGAAACACTTTTGTTTTTATTGTAATGGTCCGCTTCCCTGCATTACATATAATAGCTTATTTCCAAAAAGAGAAAATATTGTCTTGCAAAGACCACAAGAATGTTCCGCACTATTTGTTTTATTTCAATGAACACATCTCCAAGTATATGAAAACTTGACTCACAAAGAAAAGATAAATTCGACACGTTCATTGTATTTATGACATGTTAAATCATTATGTACAAATTATATGATGCAACAACTAATTTTATTTTTTCAGTCATCTCCTGAAGAAACTTGGGGCAACCTACCTAGATTGATCGACCACTTGTACAATCCGAATGCGTTTTACATCACTAAACTTAAAGAAAATACGTTGCATTATCTACGAGTGCGGTACAATCCCACTGGACAATATTCGAACGAAATTAAGGAGTGGACATGCGAAAGTGAGTTGTTCCTCTCTTTTTACATTTTTTAAACACATATTTTCAAGTAAAGTTTTTTTTTCATTTATTTATTGTCACATCGACATCTTAGGTCATAACCGACTCAAAACTGGTACAATGATTTACCAATAGTTAATACGTAGTAAATTAATAGAGGGCTCAGATATGTGTGAAATGCTGAGGTTAACATATTTTGACCACAGTTAACACATTTATTGTCCTTAATATATTTCTTCTTCAATGTTGGTTCAAATATGTAAGTTTTGTGTACTTTTGTGTTAACCAGTTACACACATTCAGATTGATTACAATTAAGACATATGCTCAAACACCCATACATCAGTAGATTAGAGAATATAATTGTATACTATAACTTACATTGTTGTATGCTTTTATATTAATTTTAATGAATATATTTACATCTTTTCTAAATTCAACCACTCTATCTTGATAGACAATAGATGTAAGAGTTGACGCCGGGCTCATATTCTGAAGGATTATTTTTTATCGAATTTTTTTTTAAGTATTTAAGATACAAGTCGTAAAAGTGGCATTTAATTTTGTCACTAGGAAATATTGCCTCACGAGGTTGATAGGCCGAGTGGCGCACTCCTTCGAGCAACCACTTCTAACACCTGCGTCATGTACTCTTTTTTAGACATCATTTATGCCTTTATTTTATTTTAATTCATGTTCACAAGTCAATTGTGTACTATGTATTATTAAGATATGTGCCAGCTGTGCGATAAGACGAAAGTATTTTCTTTTCTTTTGTCGCTTGGCAAGCAATAGTTGGTATGGTGTGTGGGTACTGTGTGTGTGTGTGTGTGTGTGTGTGTGTGTGTGTGTGTGTGTGCGTGAGAGCGAGAGAGGAGACAGAAGAGGAGAGAGAGAGAGAGAGACAGAAGAGAGCAGAGAGAGAGACAGAGAGTAGACAGAGAGAGCAGAGAAGACGAGAGAGAACAGAGAAGAGAGAGACAAAGAGAGGACAGAGAGAGACGAGAGAGAGAAGCCGAGAGAGAGACAGAGGAGAGGCAGAGAGAGACAGAGAGAGACAGAGAGAGACAGAGAGAGACAGAGAGAAGACAAAGGAGACAGAGAGGCAGAGAGAGACAGAGAGAGAGAGAGAGAGAGAGAGGAGAAGAGAGAGGGAGAGAGAAGAGAGAGAGTATTTTAAGATTGTTAAGGAGGCTTGAAAATGTTCTCAGTGTAGCGTGCGTAGATTCATTTCGTTTTGGCTTTTTCTTACCTAGATGGAAATTTGTTGTATCATAGAAGTTTCTGAAATGTTGAGAGTATAATCCTGAAAGGGTTTTCTTTTTAATTCTCTATTTATTTGTCCATAGCTTATAAACCGCTGTGCTTTGATGACTTTCCTGAAGCACTTATTTTGTAGAATTTGTATTTTGTTTATGTGGCTAAGGGTTGCATTTTTCTAAATGGAGCTTGCGTAGGTTAGTGAAGATCTGATTATTGATTTGTATATTGCTTTACCGCATTCAATGCTAAGGGTAGATTTATAATTTAGTATGAGATAATTTTATAACATTTGAGTATTTGTGTTTGTGATATGTGCTTTCCATGTAAATTTTGGGTCCATTGTGATTCCTAGTTATTTAACTGATGTTCGATTTGGTGGCCATTGTATGGGTGTGTTTTGGATTAATCAAGGGGAGGTACTTTTGGCTTACAAAGGCTGGAAATATTTGCTTTTAATTTTAAAGCGTTAATTTTAATTCGCCATTTTTCAGTTCATTCCGAAAATTTAAGTAAGTCAGTTTGCAATTGGTCATGTGCTTATAAGATATCGCTGTATGATGCGAATATTGCTGTGTCATATACGAACAAAGCTATTTCTGAGGTGTCTAGTTGAGGAATATCTGACAGATACACATTGAAGAGGAGCGAAGAGAGACAGTACCCTCGAGACATTCTTGCGTCGATTGTATGTTTTGAAAGTGTATTGTTTATTTTAAAATTTTTGTTCGTTCAAGAACAGCTGTTGTTGGGGATTAAAATAATGAGCTCTTGTTTTGACCAGCTTATCTCAAAACAGATACAGAAGAGGCAGAAACTGCAGATTTTATGAGTAGCGAGCGGATTTTGATGACCTAAAACATCGCCAAAAATGATCAAATAAAATGCTCTAAATAATTTAAAAGGAAAGAAAAATGACGTGACAATTTGATCAAAACCAGTTCATATGAACAACTTCAGCTATTGGATATGTTACTAATGTAATCGAGGCAAAGTGAAGGAGATTTTCAATGATGATGGGTTCACATGAACGGTGACTTCAGAGGAACAAGATGCCTGAAACAGTTTTCAGTGTGTGGGTGAACATTTCTTAGAGAAAAATAAATCTTCGTATTTTGTAAATGGAATCTAGAGACGTATGTGTGAGTTTCAAAAGCTGGGCTGTAGAATGTAACTTACGTTATACTTTCTACACTCTCATTCAGATTTCTTACCTCATAACGTCGATGACGTGAGTGATGGAAAAGATGAGCAGACATCAGAACAAAGCAGCAACGCTACGCTACGCTAAGGTCACTGGAATTACCCCTTGATGGCAGATATCTGCTACATGTTATACAGAGAAAAGCATGAAGAAAATTTACAAGAGACGTTGGAGTTCATCACATTTCTGAGTAAGATTTAGTAGATTAATACCATTCACGAAATGGAATATGGACATTTTTTGTGTAATAAGTGGATTCGCTATTGTAGAAAAATAGTGGGTGATGACCATATCTAAATACAAATCCATAAACTGTGTTAAAATCTGGTTTAGAAAAACACGCTTGAATTTATGATGATTACAATAAGTTTCATTTTTTAGATTTGTGCAATTTCAGGCCCACAGACTAAGCATAAAATTACAACAGTACACACTAATGCTACAGCACACAATTTCTTGCGTTATTTCTGACTTTCGCAATTTTTTAAAATTCAAAGACTTCAACGAAAATGACTCTGGCGCCATTATTTTAAACGATACTATATCCTTTGAAAAATATTAAAAAATAGTCTTTTTTATAAATAGAAGTACCCTCATGCAAACATTTTGCAAAATTTTGTATTTAGGAACTTTAAAATGGCCTTTTTTAAAGACTTTAAAATATTTTTATAATAAAAATCTTTACCATCAATACTGCATGCTTGCAATGTTCATTTCTGATATTCTAAACAATAAAGGGCTTGCTGAAAATGGGACCAATAACAATTTTTATCGCCCTTTGACATACACGAGGAAAAAATTGAAGACAAATTTCATGCCATTTTGGGAAAAATAACTGTCCAAATTAATCCAAGTTGTATTTTATTATTATTAAATACTGTCCGTACGTTGGGGTTCCTGCAGCACGTACTGACATCCCTCTCATTCTACATTAAAGAAAGGTGTAAATATGATAGTATTTTGAGAATCAGAACGAGTGTGAGCCGAAACAATAGAAACCGTTTTCTCGGGGTTTTGCTCTGGATTTGATTAGCGTGCACGAGGAAGGAAACGTCAAAGCACTATCAGCTGACTCATGCTCAGGCCGACATGGCGTGCGGTGGAATTCCCTTACGCAGCTTCTTGGGTAACAAAGACTCAAATGTTTTATTAAAATAAAAAGAAAAACTGGTGGTGCTAAGAAAGAACGTACTTTCTCGCCTGTATTTTCAGGCAAACTTACGCAAAAAGTACTCCAATTTTCGAAAACATTTTCAAGGTCTTCTTTAAAAACCTATCTTTTAGAAACAGATCTTTTTATGGATAATATCTCTACCTTTAATATTTTACGTGTAGGAACATGCAGAAACTATTTTGAACTTTTGCAATTTTCAAAAAAAATCACGGTTTTCAAAGTATTTAAGACCTACATCATTCCCTTAAATGTCCTTCATACTATCTAACAACAAAATTATTCAAACCGATACAGCCACTTTTTGGAAAATATTATTGTATTTCAATGATAGCTTTAAAAAATTAAAGTAAATTTGTTTGAAAATGGTGGTAATTTTCTCGTAATTTTGCGACAAAGACAATTAAAATAAATATTTTCTCAGAACGACTCCAAATTCATTCCTTTTCATTTTGTTCCTCGGATTGAGAAAAGTACGCTCACAAAAATGAGAAGGTACCATTTTAGTTGAAATCCATATTATCGGATTGGTTTAACTTTTTTGATGTCATCCTACAACTACAATATGAAGAAACAGATTTTTACTTAGTGAAATATCAGAATTTTCTTCAAATCCCTCACATTAATAATTGTGAGAAAGTATATCTCACATTTTACGTACTTTCCCGCTGCCGCTTAAGCAGTAGAGAGAAAGTTAGGGCTGTAGCTGGAAAAAAGGCATATACTTCATAACTGTTTTGAGAAAAACGCAATGCGAGTTTTCAATCATAACATTCTACACACTACTTAATTACAAATTAAAAATAATTATAATGTATTAAAATAATATGTAAACTTAACTACATTTAGAGGGTAATTAAATTCTCCTTCATTTGAAATATATGCCTTAAAGGAAAAATTCGTTATAGGCCCTTCTTCTGGAGACAACTTTATATTTATTATTAAAATTGTGTAAATTATAAATATTATTAATTTTTAATTTGCTTTTATTATAAACTGCTAATTCAAATTGTAATGAGGTTTTTATGTATTTTTTTACCTCCTACTTCATCTTATGAGCTATAAGAATCAAATTCACATTTTTTGGCATTTCCAATAGACAATTCTTTGAAGAGTGCACTACTAAATTTTGGTAAACTTTTTTGCTCTCTTCATTAACTACCCATATGTCTCGAATATCAATAACTTTTATCGGATTAAGTGGAACCCAAATGACAAGTTAAAGAGCAATATTCTGATGAATTATCGTCATACAAGGACATACTCCTCTACTAACCCAACGTATGAGGATAAAATCAGGATTTGTTTGCATATACTATATTAAAGTTCGCAGAATTCATTTCTGCATTCTCCGGAAAAGAGACCATAGTCCTATAGTCTTCTAGGTTGGACCTCAATTGCAAAGGTACAATGTTTTTCTTCATGAAATGTGTCCATAAAAGAACACTCGAATAAGATCCATAGAAGAACTTCGAATAATTTCCTAGCGACTAAGGGCCTAAGTTACTGCGCTTCGTGCACATAAGTTGAGAGATGTTTGAAAGCTATTGCTATTATAAAAGAAAGTAGATTGAAGAAAGGTAATATATTTAACTTAGAACTAACAAATTACTTATTTACTCCAATAAATTTTTATCGCTAATTATGGGATGTTTCATTTCTGAAAGTTAGGAATGACTACTGTCCCTGGCTCTCAAAATAAACGCAGGTATCCACCACCGGGACCTCCTTTGAATTGGTTGTGTTTAGATTATATTGCCATTATTTCTTATACTTTACAAGAAAGAAAAATTAAAGAATTGAGTAACATAAATTTTTACGAGCATTTTAATTTTATATTACTACATACGCTGCCTTGGGAAATAATATTATATTTAAGAAGTCCATTGTTGAACGACAACAATATACTACAATGTTTAAATATATTTATTGATCCTTCTTGGACAATAATTTATCCTTCATGGATATTAACATTTACATTAACTTCTAATAGAATATGAGGAGAAACTTAAATGTAACCTCTCAACATGCTACTGATAACTAAAAGTATTTTTTATTTAATTTTGGAGAATCTTAATGATTTATAAATACAACATTGTACTTGAAAATGTGTACAGTAAATAATAGATACAGAGAGAAAAGATAACTAAGAACAATGTAAGGGAACTTGAGAGTAAAGTGATCTAATTCGGGAAAAAAATTAAGTGTTTTTCTAATTGAAAGACGTGTAAGCAGGGAAAGAAAAAAATGAAGTATTAAATGTATTTGAGAGACGAAGGAACCAGAATTTTAGAGGAAGAATACTGATGTCGTGTAATATTTGTTCGTTTCTTATGAACCAAAGTGCTTTCAATACTTTCATTAAATATTTATTTTGTATAACTTCTAATTTTTTAATATGAGATTTCGCTGCGCCAGCCCAAGTGGGTCATGCATAAGTTAACCCTATAAAAGGCGTCGTCTGTCAGTCGACGTAACTAATGATGAAAGACTTCCACACCTCTTCCCCTCACTCTCGGTTTCCGAAACTTTGTGTACCTTCATTGTGTGTTTAGCTCGTGAAATACACATATCATTGTGCGCGTGCATATTTCCGATGCACGCCATCACGGGTCGTGGAGTAGATTACGCCTTTTTAGTTGCATCAGTGATATTTTTGGCACTATATAGGCTAATATTGAAAAAAAAATACAAAATTCTTGTCTTTTAGCGTAGACGATGACGATAATAACAAAGATCGCGTGACATGGTGCTTCTATGGATGCTTTTCAAAAGCCGTGTGTGAACAGCTCCAAGCAAGTGTCTTGACTTGTGTGTGAGCGTCAAGACTTTTAGTTGTATCTATAAAAACCTTTAAAATGTATTCGTAACTCCGTATTATACATGTTCAATCCATTAAATTTAGTGTTTCATTATAAAAATTGTTTTTCGTTATTTTTACCCAAAGTAGTCTGTCAGGGTACGCCTTTGAAATAATGCGTGGTACACGGCATCTTTGAATTCTAGGGTTAACGAAGGGAAAATTATGTATTTAAATATAGTCAGTGCAGATCTACCGAGAAGTGAGAATTTGAATTCAGAATTTGATATAATTTTAAAAGCGTGACATAAGTTTTATTTCTTATAGATAAAATATGTGATTTCGATGTTGATTTAGTATCTAGTTGTAATCCAAGATACGTAATTGAATTATTATTAGGAAACCAAGGAATTGCTTCACAGTTTGTAATACGAGGATACGTAAGAGAGATTTGTCTTAAGGAAAATATTTTTGCTTGTGATTTTTGATTGTTTATCTTTATTTGCCAATTATAATACCAAGCAATAAGAATATTTTAATCCATCTTATAAAGTATCACGTCCTGTTATAATGTCTGAATAAGAAGTAAACAAAGATGTTTCATCAGGAAAGAATGATATTTGCGAATTATTTAGATGAGTAATATCTGAAATGTAAATATTATAAAAAAGATACAGACAGAGACAGCAAAAGACAGACAGAGAGAGAGAGAGAGAGAGAGAGAGAGAGAGAGAGAGAGAGAGAGAGAGAGGCAGAGAGAGGCAGAGAGAGGCAGAGAGAGGCAGAGAGAGACAGAGAGAAAGGTACTCCAGCCTGGATATTATATTCAGTACAAAAAATATTGATAACTTGAAACTGAAATTTACAATACAATAAAAGCTTGAAAATTTTTTGTAAATAAATGTGGAATCCAAATAATATAAGTTCATAAAGTAATTTATGTAATGTACGACGACTTTGTGTCGTATCTGATGCAAAGAATAACACTAGCCCATTGGAACCCGTTTCTCTACATGTAAACAATGGTGGTCTGTAAAGGGTTGACATAAAATGTTTTCTTCGCTATTTGAGAAGTTGTGTGCCTACACCTTCATTATTTAGATGGTAATGTGATCCAGTAATAATGAGAAATGCATGTCTGACTCCTTGTTAGAGAAAAAGAGAGAAGGGCGTTATTTAGAAACAGGAAGTTCGCCTAATCTCAAAAAGGAAAATAACTTATTGCCACACTTCCTCGCATAATATTAACCAAAGGAGAGGAAAATTGTGTGGTTGGTACCAATAGGAAGTACTGATGAGGAAGAAGGAAAACAGAAAAATATAATTCGGTGGTTACTTGCTACTAAAAATTTCAAAAGATGAATTTTTAACGAATGGTTTCATTTATACTGTGCAAATTTATTGACAACTAAAGAATGACTCAAATGTTAACTTAGTGCAATTAGTTCTATGCAAACGCAGGTAGTTTGGCACGATAACAGAGGGTACAGCTAGAAAAAGCAATAATGCAAGTTCTGTCTTGTATTGAGTGAAGGTGGAAAAGCCAGCTGCTCAATTACATTTGACAATGATATATTCGGAACTATTTTAGATTTTTATTTGGTGCTTTTCATTAAGGGGGATTTAGGGTTGACTCAACCTCCTTTTCAAAGGTTCCTTTTCAAATCCCCATACAGCCTTCTCACAAGTTTCCTGCTACTACTGTGTGACACTCACCTCGCCCTCCTCATCTATCCGCTTCCCCGCTGACCAAGAAATCCTCGATGTGGCACTCACATCACGGAATATTCGAGTCACTATTCCCAAACCCATTCCCTTCTCTCTCTCTCTCCGATTTCACTCTCATTACCTTCACAGAAGGTAGCATTCGCGCCTTCTGCGGCCCTAGGCAGTGGGTCCAACAACCCACTGACTGTGATGAGTTTCGCAAACAACCCGCAGCAATACTCACACAAGCACAAACTAAGCAGACAATGGATTCACCAGAATTTATGGACAAAAGCTTACAGAAAGCATATACAAACAGCCCACAGAAAGGCGACGCCGGTTTTCTGGCGCCCGCCCGAAGAGGGTTCACATACACTCCTGTGTTGACGGCGACGAAAAGGTGGAGCCCTACCTTCACCTCACCTTTGGACCACATCAGCCTGTGTGCAATAACACAGGGGATACCTTACTTTTATATATATTGTGACGTACCGTGAAGCGGTACTTTCACGACAATAAAATTATGCAAGGGACAGGTACCTTTTCGTGAATGGGTCTCTAGGAATTTGGCGCAACATGGGAATAGAACTGGTATACACTCTTTTATATATCTAAACGTTTTAATAACCAAAGAATACACCTCACAAATATGATTTACAAACAGTAATGCTTATGTCTTGAAAACAAGCGCGCAGATCAACTCCAATGCACATACTAACTCGACATTTAAAAAGAAAACCATCTGCTCCCTCCAGATGCGTCCGGGGCCGTCGTTGCAACGGCGGCGGTGGCTTCGGCAAGCTTCGGTTCGCCCCGAAGCCCGTCGGGGATTCGCCCTCCCTCGGCGACCAGCTCCTCCAGCCCAACGTAACGGCTGATGATTTCGCCGGGGTCCGCCCCAGCCGGTGTGAACAATGTCTCACAAATACGGGAACGAACGACGCGAGATTAATGTTCGTTGGCTATTCTAATTCTTTCAGTGACCTTTCTCGGCCTCGCACAGATGTCTGTTCGGCACTGTCCACTATTGTTGTTCCAGTGCGGGATCACGACACTAGCCCACCGGCCACGCGATTTACTATCTTATTGGTCTTTCTCAATTGTGATGCGCATTTTCACTTCCTCTAATCATTTAACTATCAATCCTTAGCGAACTTGAGTTTCTACACCGGCGGCCTTACTAGTCCCAACTGTATTGGAATAATTCGAATAATCTCTTGGCGACGTCACAGCCCGCGTCCGCTACTTCACCGACTGCCTCTCCGCACTGCACTAACCGTCGCTCGCCTCGCCGGTTCCCCCATTTGACCGTTGGTGGCGAGGAGGCGGGCGGCGGCGTTTACTGCGCTATATTATATATTATAATATATAATATATATCATATTATTATTATAATATATATATTATATATATAAATATATTCGGACATTTTTGTAATCGCATACTCGGCCAGTTGTGCGCTTTGGTAAACCTTCGAGTGACGTGTCGATGTTGAGCCACCTTCCTCATCCCGCAGAGGTGCCGCCGACGGTGAACGGACCTGCGGGTGGCGGAGCGCGGGTCCCGGGCTGGCTGGACGTCCGGTGGACGCGCCCGCAAGAGAGGTGCAAGCGCTTCTACTACTACGACGTGCGCTACCAATACGCCACGCGACGGGTCTTCTCGCGCACCATGAGGTTCGGCTACTTCGACGTGTCGCACTCCAAGGCCTACGTCAAGCCCTCACACCCGTGCAGCGGCGGCGACTTCTGCGTGTTGCTGACGGACCACGTGGTCGCTGGGAGCCATCACCAGATTGAAGTAAGTGCTACGTCTCAAAGCTGAGAGGGTTTTAAAGTCAAATGTAGCATAATGGCTAGCAAATTGATGTAATATGTGTGTGTGTGTGTGTGTGTGTGTGTGTCTGTGCACCATAATAGTGAGACCCGAAAGGTCCGCATTGCAGGCCCAGGTAAAGGAGGGCCAATTCTTAGGGCATATTTTTATTATTTAGGGTATCACACTGCCTGTGTTTACTGTACACTTTTATAAGGAGGACCGGATAAATGTTCCGCGGGCCCGCACGCAAATTGTTACGCTACTTCTCTCTCTCTCTCTCTCTCTCTCTCTCTCTCTCTCTCTCTCCCTCAGAGAGAAAGAGAGAGAGAGAGATAGAAAGAGAGAGAGAGAGAGAGACAAAGATTAGCATTAGATTGTATCGAAAAAAACATTCAAAGACTTTCAAAGACTTAGCGAAAAAAAAATAGTTTTCGATGTAAGAACTGCATAGGCACCAAGAAAACAGTTTTAAAAATCGGTTTAAGAGTGCCACAAACCCCATAAACATTCCATTTGGTGGCCTTTTACGCTACGTTTTAGAAAATATCAAATACATATTATTTAATTGTGTTTATTGACAATTTTTTGGCTGACAGGGTGCCAATTATCTTGCAACAATTTTATATTCACCAAACACTACGAAATGTGGCACAAGCAGTGTGTCACGTTACTCCGAATATGGCCAATTTTACGTTAGAATCGTAGAATAAGACACTTTTCCATTGGCCACAGCTACGTTATTTTTATTCAAAATACTTTTAATTTAGATAAGATTAAATCTTAAAATCTCTTCTTTATGAATCTTGCTTCAAACAATTTAAGTATTGCCCCGCGCGCCATCACTGTTAACGACAAACCTTTGACCGCACTGCTGGGTGTGATTTCTTTATTCTCTGTTAGACTGCTTTGAACGTATTTGTGGAGGCTTCAAACGAGTTTGGAAGTTACTATACCTTAAAGAACACTATATGGATTTTGGAATCCCATGAGATATTTTTTCGTTTTTGTTTCTGTGCAACACTACCCCTGTCATCGCGGCGGCCCGGGCCCACGCCGCTGAAGGCGGCACACTCCTTATTGCATTCTGAAAAGCCCCCTTTCCTTTTTTCAGATTTCTTCTGTTTCCAAACAGCAGTTAATGAGATTGATGAACATTTTCATCCTTCCATTTCAATATCCATATATAATGAATGAAACTTCACGCTTGCAGCCGGGCTATGCCGTGGAGTATGCTTTAGTAGCGGCAAAAGCAGCCACGGTAACCACAGGCAGGAGCCAGTCTCTGGTTAGTGACGTCACCTAGCGTATGCTAAGGGCTACAGGCGATGGAGCAAGAGCACTGTATTGAGATAGAGCTCCGTGTTATAAGGGTCTGCTAAGGTCTTTGTGCCTATGCTGACCGTGCCTCGTTATATTGTTTGTTCTAATTGGATATTGGTTACTTTGGATTGTACTGGTTCCGAAGACCGGACTTGTTTTGTGGGAGAGCTTCTGGTATGCACGGTTGTGAGCATTTTTGGTTCGATTTGGAATATGGCTTGTAAGAAATGAATAATAATCTTATGTTGTTGATTTATTGTAGGTGTATTTTTCTCGAGATAACATCCTTCTTCAGGAAACTGAATAATAATAATATTATTATAGGTAGTTAAGTAATGCTGCAGAAAATCGATTTCGAGATATCAAATGATGTACAAATTTTTAAATCCCTTGATAGCGAGAAGTGTTTTTAAACAGCTACTTGTAAAATATGTTACTTTTTTACATGAAAAAGGGCTGAAATTTATTTTTTAGCACTAGATCTAAAATTGACACGATACTCAAATAAACAGAGCTTTTGTGAGTACAGCAAAGAAAAGAAAATACTTTTGTCTGCTCGCATCAGTTTCTACTGACTTTAATATAATACAGCAATTTGTAATCGTGAATAAACAATAAATTAAATATCAGAATTACTGACTAAAAAGTAGTGTAGGACACACGTGGTGAATATGATTTTATTTTCGGTCTATTTGCCTCATGAGGCAACATTTCCTATTCGCATAATAAAATCCCACTTTCACCAAATATTTATAAATTTTCAATATTACTTATATTAAGTTTTAGAATTGTTTACCAATTGTGAGCAGAGTGCTAAGAATGCTATAATATTGATTTCTTTTAGTTGAAGATAGAACGAATTGGAGGAGAGAATGAGTCATCCGGAGAGTTCAGGTTAAGTGGACTTGCTAGCACTGACAATACTGGAGCTGAGGACTTCATAGTCTGTCCCGACACAAAGAAAAAAACAGAAGATTCTTCTTTTGATGAGGTACTGTTAATACAAATATAATTGGTTGCACATTATTTAAAACATTACAATTAAACCTAATTAAATAGAATTCCATATTATGAAATTCACGCATCCATTTTTTCTTCGATAACTCGACTTTCTTGTCGAAATTTTAAGACTACTACTTCTTCTCTCCATCTTCTGCAAAATATACACAATTATAATGATTTCTTATAAATACACTGTAATTTGGATGAAAAAAGATAATTAACCTTATTTAGACTTAAAGGGTAGGTATTATTTTTCCAGAGTTTTCAGTAACTCTTTAAATTTAAAATTGTATGACGATTAGTGAACTGGTGTATCATATACGAGTGGCATGATACTTTTTTTAAAAAGGCATTTCGACAGAGTCAATATAATTTAAAAAATTATATCATTAATTTGCAAATCGAGGTCGAGTTTTTCCATAATACTTCAATTTCAAGCCAGCGATATTCGTGTGTAAATATATTTGCACATCTTCACGGTTTCAGAAATAAACTTTATATATATATATATATATATATATATATATATATATGTATATAATACTGATTATGAGAAAATAATACATCACAAAATATATTACAAAAGTTTGATAATAAAGGAAATTTTGAAATAAAAACAACTTTTATTTAGCATTAAAGAAATTAAATTGTGTTTTAGTATTCACTATAATCTTCTTCTTGCGAGTGTTTTACAGCTCTTGTGGCCGTTTTTCGCATCCCAATCTCCATACCACTCTATCGTTCGAGTCATTCTCTTTTAGTCCTCTTCTTTGGATCTCGTTAAAAATCTGATTCTGCCATTCCTCTCTGGGTCTACCTCTTTTTCTTCTGTCTAAAGGAAACCACTCGCATACCTTTCTGGGCCATCTCCCACAATCAAGCCTTTTCACGTGACCGAACCACTCACTATAATGAAGTATTAATACGGGAAATAAATTTAATGACGTCATATTTGACGGATTAGCCTTAGTGTTTGAAGGGATCGGGAGTAAAATATGGTAACCCTCAAAGTTATAGTTCTTGTGATATTGATATATTAGTACGCTTCCATCTGCTATTCATGTGCTGTTGTTCTCAAATAGTCCAAATTATGGCGCTCTTCCGGCTGTTATCATCTTTATGTATCTCATTCCAGCCGCTTCCAGCAAAAATGTTCATATCGCAAACGTTTCCTCGTGGGTTACGATGTTTTACCTCCGAACGATTCAATTAATATTAGTTGTAAGGATAGTAAACCTTACTAACTGAAAACCTTACTTTCAGGAAACTGCCCGCAATGAACACGGGGATCAAGAAACGAAGTCACACGGCAGTGGCGTGGACCTTGCATTGTGGGTTCTTATTTTGCTGGGAAGCCTCTTTTTTATCGTCTTCGCAACTATGTTTGGATTATGCGTAAAGTACAGGTATAGTACGAGTACAACTATATTAGAACATATTTTTAACCCACCGAGCGCGAAAAGCGGTTTCTCGTGCTTGTATCCGTGCACGAGAAAGCTAATTTTTCACAGTGTGGAAAACATCAGTAACGATTCGCAAATGTCCTTCGTCTTGACGACGTCTTTGCTTATTGTTTACAAACAACAGTGTTATGACAATGACTGGAATCAATTTACTTCTGTACAAGAAAGTTATTTCTAGTTATTTGTTATTTAATTTATATTCCTTTATTTGAAGCATTGCGTTTCGTTCAATGTTGTCGCGTTTCGCTAGTCTGCTTGTTAAAAAATAGTATACTCAACAAGTGCGCAAGGTGCTTCTCGCACTTGTCTCTTCGTCGTCCTCGCTGTGCTCGGATGACAAACTTTACTCGTTCGTGAATCACTTGTTTCACGCCCTTGTTACATAAACTACTGCAATAATAGAAAGCTAAATAAAACGCTATGAATATATGAAATTATAAATAAATTAATTTTTTAAATGGTGACCTTACTGAATTTTCCGATAAAACATTAAAATACTGTACATTTCTGACTACATATTGTAACAATGCTAACCCACATTGTACTATTTTGAAGAACGGACTGTCAATCTTTGCGTTGATATTACTAATAAGTAACACACCTTGGAGAGGAATCTTCGAAGGAAAATTATGTGCAATCATTAAGGTTGAGGACGTTTGCGTGGGTCATGGAGGTAGGCTTCCGTAGTGCGATCCTGGGTTCGATTACCCATCGGGACAAAAATAGATCTGTTAATTTCTGAGATAATATAGCTGTGACGAAAGAAAAGATCATACAGACCAATTACGCTAGATACTGTGATGTGAATGTCTCATGCGCGCCAAAGATATCCCTTATCCCCCTCCCCGGTGGAAAAAAGCAGATGATAGACCTGGGAACATCGCTAGCTGGCAAAAGACGGATTAATCCGATCCTAAAACGCCAAATGCTCTTCCAAACATTCAGAGAAGTAATTTTTTAATCTCTTATATAATTCAATTTACAATTATCTACATATCACCTCTCTGATATTATGAAACTTAAGTACATTTAAAAGCTTAGTACTGTCTCACATACTACTGAGGAAGTATTGAGAGCAATTGTAATGCTTCAGTGGAAAGTGCTTTTCGATAGAAAAATTCGCAATGTGGGTTCCTGATATAGAAATCCATGATAATTCTTGCTCCTGTATGTAGTAAATAACTTTTTCTAATATGTTGTCAGAATACAGGGTTTGTGGGTTCTTGATTTCGAAACAATGGTTTACGGCATAACATATGTTCATATTTTCGCAAGTTCACATTTTTCCGTACGTGCACTACACCTTCAATACTGAAACTACAGATTTCACTCTTAATCCAATCTATAAATATTAGATCTTTAAATCACAACAAACATTCTAAACATTATATGAAAGTAAATTTTACATCGAAACTTACACGACAACGATTAACATTTTGAAAATATATATTTTTTAAAAATGTTACTGGCTTCGTTTAATACGTTTTATTGCCACAAGGTTAAATTTCTTTCAAACCTGTCCTACACTTTCAATATTCAAGATAAACTTTTCCTTTACATCTTTCTGTTTTCCTCTATACCTTATCCAATCTATTTGAAAATACATCATTGAATTTATAAAACACTTTTTCGAAATATGCCTAGCAATCATGATTTATGAGTTAATTTTCTGGCGTGGAAAGGAATATGGAATGTAATAAAACATTGCAAGTTTTGAGAAGGAGAATAATGCATATTACGCGTTAAACCCGCCAGGTTTGGGAAATATTACATACTATTTAATAATAATAATAAAAATAATAATAATTAATAATAATAATTAATTATAATTAATAATAATAATTAATAATAATTAATAATAATTAATAATAATTAATAATAATTAATAATAATAATTATTAATAATAATTAATAATAATAATTATTAATAATAATTAATAATAATAATATCCGTATATTATTAGGGGTGTATGTGGTACATGTGGAAATTCGAACGTCTAAAATCGAATGCTTATTTTCCCGCAGCTTCACGAACACTGTGCATGAGGAAAGAACTGATGAGGTGGAGATGCCGCCTGCGGAATACATGGAGGAGAGGTACGTGGACCCGGGGGAGATGGGGCTCTCTGCCACGAAAATGTCTGAATACGACGAAGATTTGTACGAGGAGATCAACATACAAGCAAAAACCCCATCTTAGTTTTAGTCTCTTTGCTGTTACATTCTTAAGGAAAATCTAAATTATTCAAGGCAGTTATTAGTTATTGGCCATAAGCACGTTACTCCTGCAGGCGGTTTTGATAACTTTTCGTCCCTTTTTGGAATGTTACAATGTTCAGATTTATCAATATTTACAGTTAGTTGAATTTTGGAGAAAAACAATTAACAAGTATTGTATTTTATATTACTTTAAATAAGCAATTTACAGTAATGTCTGGTTGATATTTTTATTTCATTGTGCAACGGAATTTATTTTTATTTGTTGGATTTGTTGATTAATTGTAAGAGAATTAAAATAAATATATTTATTATATAGAATATCACATTTATTTAACTAGAATTTAATCCTGAAAGTAATTTCGACGTAACTCCGAAATGTATCAGAAGTATATCTTTTCCGTTATTTGTGTACCTTCACAATGCGAGTCTTATTAAAGAATGGTTCTTTTTTGGTGGAGAAACTGTGGAAGACGTTTAATGGTGAGAACGTATTATTAACTTTAAGGATTCTTTTAAGGTCTAATAGTATCTCTTATCAACATAATTTGTTTATAAATTACCCAACTGAACTATTACTTGTATTTTTGTACTGTGAACTTTCTTCATCTTTCTGATAAAAAACGTTAATAATACAACAAAGTAAAATAATGTATTTGAGCTATGTTTCCAACCATGTCATAGTTTTGAATTCGATAGCTTTAAAATGAGTTTTGGTCTAAATGGGAATGTCTATACATAACTCTGTACGTAAACTCGAATTTTACTAAGTTTAAGTTGCCATTTAGAAACGTTTTGTTATGTATTGACATTGGTCCAGAAAATTGTAAAGTATTGAATTTTCTGAAAAATAATTAGAAGTTAAATAATAGTTTGGTAGACTATTATAACTACATGCGAAACGTTCCTGCTCACAATTTATTGCAATGACCTGCAAAAACAGGAGGTACAAATAAGACAGTTGAAATCGTTCAAAGTTTATTGTAACAGACAAGAATTTTGTAGGATATTTTATCGTTTTTAATTTGGTTAATTATTGGTTTGATAAAAGGCATAGGTTTGAAGGTACAAGCAAAAAATAACTGAGCGAAATGTTTAGGAGATTTTGCAATTTTCTCCATGAAGCCGACCTTCAAACTCGACATCAAATTCGAATTCGTCACTTTCAAAACCATGTAGAACCGGTGAGAAAAAAATAACTTCCGTAATTTATTCCTAGATCAGGTCCTTCCAAACAACAATTGACCACATACAATTCGTGCTGGCTTCTCGAAAGCCGAGAAGACCTTTGGAAAACATGAAGTTGAGGAGAGAACAGGGAAGGTCTCAATATAAAAGTGGTTATATCACCACATCGCAGATCCCTATAGTACAAGGTTACCAGAAATTTGTTCCCAAATGAAACATTTTACATAAAAAGAAGGAGGACATTTTACACGTTCGTACTCCATGATGTGTAGACAATGTACTCAACAATTTCAAACCATTAATTATCTTTAAAATGCACATTAGACATTTTTCATTAAAAATAAAATCTTCCGATTACATAACTTCGTCCCCACGCTCACTTTATTATCCAACAAACAATAAGTTTTATATCAAAATAAGTCCGACAATCTATTATGCAGATCATTTATTTGAGTATAAATGTAGATATACAAGACATGAACTCCCTTTAATGAATTAAATCACTTTAAAATTATTCCAGTAATATGTTGAGTTTAACAGGACAAAATGGAAGACATACCATGTAAATTTACCAAAAGGAGGCAGGACAGAAGGATAAGTCATCCAAAAGGAGCACAGATGGCAACCCAGCTGTACCGGTGTTCACAGACGGACCAGTGAAAGAATTTAGCGCCACTATTGAATGTACTTACAGACAAATCATCTCGATAAGGTTTAGAGATGAGCAGACACGTAAGTAGTTAGGTAAGAAAGCTAATTGCTTGTCAGTAAGGCTGTGTGCCATCAAGTCAAGCCTTACCGAACTTGCCAATTTATGTGCAGACGAAGGAATAAATTCGAGCAAATTTTTACGACAACGCAGAATTCTGATCTTTCTTTTAAAGAAATTTTATATTTTTTAATGCCTTTGGGGTTAGTACTCGTATTTATAACAGAACGCGAGATATCTGTGCGTTTTAATCGAACAAAGAGATTACTGCCGAATTCAAATTTATATGCAATACATTTAAATTTTTTTGTCAATAGGACTATCGATCATGATTTTCCAAATTTTCCTTCATACATTTCATCTTTCTATAGCATCACAGAGAGATGTGTCACCAAACTATAAATGGTCTATATACTTGTTGAAGGAATTTCATTGGCTTGTTGCACTTCTATACTATTGGTATTGTATAGCACTAGAGATTATTGAAAACAATGGTCCAGATATATCCAGATTCCAAACTTTTTATGAACTTCAAGACATAAAAGCATTAAAATTTGTATAATTGTTAAAAACGTGTCAGGAATTTTTACTTTAATTCAAAAAAATTGAAACACCTCAACAACCTCCAACTCTCGGTTATAAAACATTTTTTTAAGTTCTTTGAACCTGTAATTTGGCAAGCAGGTCAGATTTAAGAATACTCGTGCTCTTCCAAAGATGGTTTAAGTTGGTATAGGGAGACAGGACATACACATATGCTTGAACCTGAATATGAGTAAGTGATCGATACAAGGATTTATGTTCACAAAACTTACATGTATTTTCGAAAAATTGCACATGATGTTATTTCAAAATTTATTTTTCTTGAAACTTCAGACGTTATTTGAAGCAACTCTACTCAAAAATGCGACAATGTACAAGAAATGCTTGCAATATACAATAATGACGATGAGTACAATTTTTCAAAAATAATTATTCAGAAATAAATTTAATTAATTACACAAATACACTTTTTTAATTATTGAAAACACAAAAGGATAAACCAAAGGCGTTTATCTCAACTTTCACAGTAGATTTAGCATTACCCGTAGAAAGTAAGAACAAAAAATTTGGAACTGTTTTTGAGAAATTTGTTTTAAATACTTTTTTTAAATATTATCTACATTTCACTCAAATTTGCGCGTAAACTACTAACACAGGTTTGCGCAGAAATAATAGCCTGATTTGAGTCACGTAATACAGACGCACATTACGCGCATTGTCGACATGGGTATGTTGAATAAAGTGGGAAGGCCGGCAATTTGGAGTTATGGCGAAAGTGTGCTCTAGGGCATCCCTCTTTTGTTGTGGAAAGTTAATATAACAGTAACGAGTCTCCCATTACTGTGAAAAGAATATTTCGTAGCCATTTCAGGCTGAGACGTCACGACAGAGATCCTGATCATTGAAATTTGTTTACCCACTGTAAAGTGGGTGTATCAATTTTTTATCAGTGCACCTAGCCTTAGATGAAAAAATCTAGAACGTCCTAGTGTATATAACGATCCCCTATGCGAATAGAGGAAGCCCAACAAGCATTAATCCGAAGTCCTCGGTGCTCTACTGTCGTAGCGCAAAGAAAGTGACCTCGTTGTTTGGAGAGTATAACTCCTGACGATATTCCGTTCAACGCCTCTAAGATGCATCATGTACAACAGTTGAAGAAAATGATAACGTTGCCCGAAGGTCATTTGCTATGGATTTCCTTGACCGTATAGCGGCCAAACCGCAGATCTTGAACCATTTAGATATCTGATGAGGCTCATTTTCCACTTAGCATAGGTGTGAACAAACAAAATGTTCGGCGACAAATTAACACTTTTCGATTTTACACATAACATATTTTTGTTATATTTCACAACGTTTCGACCTTGTATTTTAAAAATTCTAATATAATGTTACCTGAAATTTGAACCTAGAACCTGAAGAAGGTATTAAAATATTATGTCGAAACTTTGTAAAATTAAACGAAAAATTCAACAAAAAAATAAACGTGAAACATATTAATTTGTGAATAAAAGCGTGCCTAAAAATAATTTTTGATTCGAAAATTTACGAGATTTGCGTTAAGGTGCGCGTGCAGGGTGAATGTCGAAGTGTTCTGGTAATCTTCCAGCAACGATAAGCGTCAGCAGGAAGTGCGCGAACCGCAAGAGATTGCAGCGGCGGCGGCGGCGGCGCTGGCGGCCAGTTGACGCCTCGCGTGGCGCGAAGTGCCGTCGGCCTGCAGGCCAAGGCGCATCCGCCATGCGCGGCCTCGCCGGCAGCTGTTTCTTGGCGCTGGTGCTGCGCGCTGCGATCGTCACGGTCCAGGCAGATTCTCCTAACAACGTTTCGCGTACGTACACCTGCATTGCGAAGCTAAGTTTCGAGGACAACATATCAACTAAAATTTGCTTTAGAAGTAATCGCTCCATGTTTTTATACATAATTCATGTATAACCTTATCGATGCCGGGTTATAAATATAATTTAAATTTAGTTTTAATGACTTATTTCTTAAAAAGAAAACATAATAGGTGTAGTCGTAGGCTACCGCGGCCGGAGTAATGTGCATGATCTTGTCTGTCCTAAGACGCCGCGTCGAAGGCTGTGTTGTCGACGTTTCGACCATCTTATCATGGTCTTCTTTAAGCCAGCCTTTTGTAGCAGACCAGGCCTGAAGAAGATCACGATAAGATGGTCGAAATATCGGCAATACAGCCTTTATATTTATATTTATTCAATCAAAAACAGTTAAAACTGTATGTGACGTAGGGGCCTTCGATGAAGCCTTCGATGCGGCATCACCCGGACAAACAAGATCATTTATAATAGATGTATTGTACTTGTGGTTGTCTCTTAGCATCAGCTGACAACGGTGACAGTTGCGTCACGCATTGGCGCCGGGGAGGTATAGTCATGTTCCTGTTCCATAGTAATAAAATAATCCAATAGTTTATATGTTATGCATGTACGTACTATATTATGCAATATAATAAATGGATTCCATTGTATGTAATGCTAATTAATCAGCGCAATTAATTTTCCTTCAGATAATTTTTCATAAAAACATTACGTTCATTTCACAGAGAGCACATAATAATTCGATCACTCATTAACGATTGAAACGCATAAATTACATTATATTTTATGGGAATCTGGAAGTTAAAGAAGAAATTCCTGTATATTTTTCCTCAAATCATATGATGTCGTGTACTCATGTTGTAGAATTTGTTTTGTAGCATGACTGGAATATGTGATTACTTTCAGGGACTCAAAATAATTCCATCCTTCATATCATTATCAATATTTATGAATTTAATTCGCACGCGTCGGAATTTCTCCGTACTTTAAAGGGACTAACGCGGGTGTTATTTAAGCTAAGACGGCATACAAGAGGGCGATATGAATGGGCGAAAACCAGGACGGTATAACCAACATTTAATAAAGTCTGAAAAATCTGTTTATTTAAGTCAATGTCACTGTAAAATGGTGCTTTATTTCATCATTAAAGCCACGGCGTTTCATTTATTCATTAAAATCACGAAAATATATTTTCACTGACATAGTCTAACATAAACATGTTTTTCTCAGAATTTATAAAATGTCACTTATACCGTTCTGATTTTCACCCATTCAAATATACTACGTCTTCGGACCTTGGTATACTAATAGCTCTGTCTCTTTCTCTCCGAAGCAAAATAAAGCGCAGGGCTGCCATTTTTGTCAGCCCTACACCCCGCTTGGTCGGGGTATAATTATAATTTAAATTTAACTTTAATGATTATTACTGTAATTTAATGAACTTTACTGTAAGGAATCACGAGCACACAAAAACCATGGAAGCCTGAGCTGGGTTTCGAATCCGAGATCCTTTGATTCGTACAAATTTGAAAACGAGCGTCATTACGTAGTTCATTTTCAAAACATGTAGTACTCATGCAAGAAAGAGAAAGAAAAATCTTAATCATATAAATTAATTGCATAAATTACTATTGTATGCGCTCCCGTCAATTGTTCTGTTTCTAAATTTAATGAACATTTTTCAACATGTTCTTTTTTTCGTTTTCAATTATTAGGTGTTCTCTCCTGGAACATTAATAGTATTTAATTAAAAAATTAATTTGTAGAAGACACTAATCTTACGTAAACAACACACATTGCCATTTTATTTATATATTTTATTTTATACATTTTATTACATATATATATATATATATATATATATATATATATATATATATTAATTTATTTAATTTAATTTAATTTTATTCCTCCTTTCATTATTGAAACTTTACTTATTTATTGACATAACTGATATAATATTTAAATTGTTGGGATACTAATACATAGTTCATTTATAACCATATTTCGAAGCCTGTGATTCAACTACTTCAGAGGATAGAAGGTAATAACGGAGTATTGATTAATCAGTACACTGATTAGTCTATATTCTGTTTCTTGTGTGAATTACAGTACGACATACATCATGTTTTTGTGTCATTCATATACGGAGGAATATTTAATATTCATAATGACAATAAAAACTCGAGTATTTCTCATTTATTTGAAGAGAAATAATAGCCCAAACATTAGTACAAAGGAAAATATCACTATAAGAAACTACAATAGATATCTACGATTTATAAACTGCTTCTGTGGATAAAAATAAAAATAAGAGTAATGTATCTACAGACCATCGTTCCATTTATTGCACATATTGTATTTTCAAGGGGTTACACTATTAGCGGGTTTATGGGTTTAAAATTAACGGTGATATTCTTTGCGGAAAGCGCTCGCATTTCAAAATTAATTGTCAATGATAAGTGATTTATTATTTTTTTGAGAGTAAGGAACAGTGGTTATACTCACATAAAAAAAGGATTTTAGATTTTTTCCTTCTACATTATAATTGTTTTTTTTTCTAATATGAATTACATGCAGGAAATATACAGTACGATTTGATTACAAGGAAAAATATGACTGTGTACAGATGACCTCTTTTATCACTCTTCGGCGAAGGTCAAAGACTTGCTTTCTTAGCATTTTATAGGCCAAGACAAAGGCGATAGGGAAATTTCTTAATCACAATGTTAACGTACTTCAAAATGTGTTAGATGCAATTATTATTATTTATTAATATTATTGTTAATAATAATAATAATAATAATAATAATAATAATAATAATAATAATAATAATAATAATTGCTCTATTAAAACGTCTGAACGCAAACCATTACTACAAAGAAAATGTGAGGCAAAGAACTTACACGCAATTTTGAACTCGAAAGCTTGAATGAATGTTGCAAAACTACGAATTCCTTGAGAATTAAGAGATCACTTTACACGAAGCCTCTGGAACATTTTTAAAAGTTTCTCAAAAATTGCTCCATTTTTTTACTTAAACTTTGATCTCGAATAGCTAAAGATTAGCCCAGACTCATTTTCGTTGAAATTTTCAATTTTAGGGAAATTGTAAATTTAATAATTTCTACTACTATAATATTCAAGATACAGTTTTTCCTGTTCGAAATCGTGTGATGTTTAGAGAGAAGTGTGTTTCATTGTATTGGTTTGATACGTATCGTCTCCACGTTCTCCCTCCCCCTCCCGCTATCTCTATCTCTATTCACCTACTCCCTCTCCCTCATTCTCCTACTTTCTCTCCTCCTTCTCTCTCTCCTCATTCTCTCTCTCTCTCTCTCTCATTATCACTCTTCATATGAAAAAAATAATGTCGCCATTTTTAGAAAATGTTTGTTTAAACAAGGCGAAGAACGATTAAACCATTTGAAGAACTCAAAGTCGGAAATATTTACCTCAACCCTACATTTTCTCACTCCACTCCAGTAAAATTAATCTAATGCAGTTAATAACATTGCGTAAATAACATAATGCAATTATGCTGTCAAATCTGAGACGATATTCTACGACGTTCAGCTCAATTGCTTAAATAATATTCACGACTATACTAATGGGTAGTTTGGCTAAATGATATCCAAAAGTTCTTTTGAATGAACTCTCTAAAAATTTGCAAGACCTATTAATGCTAAATCTTAAAAAATATCAAGATAAATATTATTAAAATTAAGAATTAATTATGTGTATATTATTTTTCTTTGAATTTTACAGTTCCAGTATTTTACAAAGTACATCTTGAAGACTTGAAAATTCTTCGAGCAACGGCCTATACACTTTTAATTCAGGTGACATCATGTCGACAGTCCTGCAATACAGTCAACGTAAAATTTAAAATTAAGGTAGGTTTGACTTTTTTTATTTTGTGCAACTATAGTAACACATTTTATACTTTTATCAATCAATAACGAAAAGTAACATAATTTTGCCGCTTTATAAGATTCGTGCTTTCGAATGATTTCTTATTCTTATTGTTAAGTCATATTTGCTCTAACACCCACACATGTACTATAATTACGACAAGTTCTACTTTTAAATTTTGCACCTAACAGGATACAGCGATATATTTTGTAAGTCTCATTGGAGAAATAGAATACTGTCAGTTACGAGGGCATTGACATTTCTCAATGCCTATTGTCCAAGAAGTATCTTCTTCTGTTTTGGTTTCGGCTGTGATCTTTGCAAGTACTCTTATGATTAATATATGATATAAGAGGAGTAAGATGTAACGTAAATATATAAAGCATGATAGAGTGATAGATAATAATATAGATGTAGATAGATAGATACTGAGAAGATAGAGAGAGAAGATAGATGTAAAATGAGATTAAGATTGAGAGAGGGATGTTACGTCAAGGTGACATAAGGATAGAAGCAAGAATAGAGAGAGTGTGAGTAGCAGAGTAGGATCACTTAGGGTCGGAGAGACTAATAGCGATTCAGTATATGCACATGAAGGCTTAACACATGATGCGTGTTCATGGAGGAAAAAGCTGTACCACTCCTTCTGCCCGATATTTTCACGCTGCGCTCTGTCGCTATGCACAATTCATAGTGTGCTTGTATTCCTAGCGATGAGATGCTGTGAGAACGGTTAGTTTTGATTAATTCGCTGCAATAATCTAACCAGTGAGTGAAATTTTCATATTGGAATTACAATAGTCATATGACTGTAATTATAATGATTTTATAATTTCTCGGTGCCAAATTTAAAGAAAAATTAATAAATATTAATTTGTACAGCCTTAGAATGCGGAATCAGGCACGAACAAAATCTCAAAACGTTTCCTCAAAACACCGGTTGTTGTGTTTTTTCAGTGTTCTTCGATTATTCAAAGACATTTATAGTTGTTTTAGACTAGAGAAAAGTTTGTTTTTTCCTCAGATGAATATATATATATATATATATATATATATATATATATATACATATACTTGTATAAATAATCAATTTGGCTGTGTGAAAAAAGTATACACTTTGTAAATTAAAATTGTAAAAGTTTAAATTGATTTAAATGAAGAACCCAATTTTGAATAACTGTGTTGTGGTGCGAACTGTGTGTTACAGTGATATAATGATAGTGCTGTGGAAGAAAAAATGAATATTGCTGAGCATTGAGATTATATCGCACAGAAAAACCAGTAGCCAATTTAAATTGATCGCGAAAGATTATTTCGGTAGTTCTCCTTCAATTTTATCGTAATTTGACATAGATTTCGCTTCATCACTTTTCTGACTAATTTCTGCCAAATTGTAAAAGAACATTCAAGAAAAAAATTTGTCATAGCAATCTATGAACTGATTCGAAGTCCATCTGCCTCCTTCATTTCCCCACACGCCCCCAAACTGCCCCAAGTCATTTCCCATCAGACCCCAAATGTCCCATATCAGTCCCCAAAAACCTTACCACTGGCGCCGTGACAGCGCCCAGCTAATATAAATTTTTTGGCAGTATTCATTATTTTCTTATTTTTATATTTTCAACTGAAGTTTATGTTAATACGACAAAAATGACCACAATATATACGCTTTTTTATTTCCGCCACTTACTTCGTAAGAAGAGAAAGTATTGTAATTGTGCTCCAAAATCGGCGATACTTCTTATTTCCACACTATGGTAACGAAATATTAGATAACGTATGTTGCTAAATATATTAAGTTACTTCCTCTAACATGTTATGTTGACCGAAGCCATGTTTTGTGGATCCTTAATACTGAAAAATCGTATTAGGGCAAAACGTCTGTCTGTTCATCCGTCCCTTGGGCCGTCCAACCTTGATTTTTCGAGGTTCTTTACATAAAGGCCCAACATTTCCACAATGTTCTCAAAGATTTTATTGAAAATTATCTTTAAATTATTCATTTCTCGAAAGTATTTTCTCAACAATAGCTACAATTTTTTACTGAAAATTTGCAAATAGGACAATGGTTCTGTAATATTCTTAAATATATATTTGAATTCTACAATTAAATGGCTGAAAAACTGTACAAATGTGAAAAAATGCCGATTTGGCGCCGATAGTTAGCAGCTCGGATGACAGTGCGGCAAAACCTAAAAGGTATGCTTAGACTAAAGGGATAAGAAGTTATCTAGTGCGAGAACGTCTGTCTAAATCTGTGTCATCAGTTGAAAACAGAATTAATTGCAGACAAAATTTTCTATCTTCAATATTGTCATCTGGCAATATAATTCTTTTGCAATATTCGAAATGGTAGTTTGTTAAAAATGTTACCATAACATATTTTATCGCTGTTTAATTTATGCGAGGAGAAAATTTTAAAAAAATGAGTCTTTTATAAGAAAATAATTGTTTGAAAAATGTCTGTGTTTTACACAAAATCACGCAAAAACTACACAAACTCTTTTCAAAACGTTCTACATGACCTCGTTTCAACATCTGCCATTAATCAATTGATTTTATTAAAAAATTGTTTCTGTCCCTAATACGACGGACAAAATACGATGGTCTGCCTTCAATAAGACGGAGAACATATTTTGAATTTTGTTTTTATCAAAATATCGGTAATTTCAACGAAAATAAAACACACGTTACTCTTTTAAGCCTTCTTTACACTCTCTTACGACAAAGTTAAAAGCAATTGGAGCAATTTTGGATAAAATTTGCGTCATGTGAAGTACCCACCAAATTAAAATATTAATTTTAAACAAAAAATAGTTCTAGAATTTTTTTATAATGCTCGAGGAATATTAAATTTGGAGAAAATCGGCTGAACGATTTAAGCGGTAGGGTTGACTACAGACAGATGGGCGGTCAGACGAATGGACGGACAGACGGACAGGTGGAGGGAGGGACGGACGGACAGAGGAAAAGACGAACGGGAGGACAGACAAAGGGGTAGTAGCCCGGTGGAACAGATGCACGTACAGACGACGGCAAACAGACGGCACACGGGCTGACAGAACTGACAGAAAGACGGAGAGACGTTTTGAAGTCTGTTGATTTTTCGTTATGTAGACCCACAAAAACATGGATTATTTCTGTCTACACCACGTGTTAGAGGAAGAAATGAGCTACATACAGGATTCATATATATCCACGTTTTCGTCACCAGTGCCCTTAGTACGATTCAGAGCCAAGACTAGTTTTTTACCGAAAAAATTGCCTGTTTTTGCGGAGCATTAGAATACGTTCCCTTTACAACGTATGTGCGCAGTAAGGTAAGAATATAAAATTGTTATTTAAAGCATTTTACAAGTGATTGATTCAGCACATCTTGACCATTAAACTAACCTACGGTCTGAATTTATTATTATCGTAGATACGTTTCTACATTTAAGATTCTAAACATCACTGTAAATGAAGTTATAAGTTCATCCAGTATTTCAATAAAAATTTTGTAAAATATTTACGAGCCATGTAAATTCAGATATGAAATAATACACAAAAAATACCTATATGAACTATAAACTCCGTTGTTATTACTTTGTAATACATCTGAACTAAAAGAACTTTATTATTAATATCATTATTATTTCAATTTGGTTGTTACAGACATCTTCAAGTGTGTCGTGGTGGGCTCCTAAAGACGTACGGATTCACCCTTCTCACAATGACACCTACAACATCGGCGGCCTGCTGCCCGACACGCTGTATTCTGTGCGCGCCTTTATTAGCCCGCCTGGCACTTACACGAAAACCCTGGTGACCTACACGTGTCCAGGTAATGAAACAAATCGAGCCAAGTAACCGGAAAGGCGAGCATAAACAACCGTTTAATTAGAGAAACCAAGACGGTTAAATTCCATTAACGCATTACTGGAAACGTAACCTAATGAAAAGGTGTGACGAATTCAATTTTTACCACAATTATTCTGTTGCATGCACGAACAAACCTTCAGGACGACGAATGTCAATGAATGTAGTAGCTTCAATGTACTATACGCGCAAGTTTTCTTGATATTCCACAGCGGGGGGTGCGGGGAGAGAAGGGCTATGGCTACGTCACGGCCTAAAAGGGTGTACCAACTGGGAGCTTGAACTTAACGCCCCAAAGCGTGCCACGAGAAAGGCTACGATTGTTTTGAAAGTACGTAGTGGTTGTTGCCAGCATTGTAAATTGATACGTGCCGTTGCGAGTCGATCCTAAGTATCTTAACGTGCCGTACTATTCAGCGCTGGATGAGGACTAGGGAGCTCGTGCAAAAAGAAAACTCGCGCGAGTAGTAGTGCAATGGGTGACACACTCACGGAAGATGCGTGCCGTATCCAATAAATACCTTTCACTAGGGGGCCACAGAACATTCTAGGGTCACTTAGCCTTGACTTGCAGGAGTGTCATGATTAGGAATTGTCACTGAAGCAGGCTGTGAAATTTTTAACTGATATTTCTGGCGCCAAACCACTAAAACTACTATCGCGTACTGAACAACTTAGACTTGACTTGTGACGATGAACGTTTGTACGTATTGCTCAGGAATAACACTCTGAGCAAAAACCCATGCGAACAGTTCTATAGCTCAGAAACGCAAATGACTATTTTTCAAATATTGCTAATCTTACGATTTTTAAAATTTATTTTTATTTATTTATGTTTAACTTTTACTCATATTTCAACTTTTTATAGTTAAAATGAAGGGAAGGGATTCTCGGATTCAAGAAAACGTGCGCAGATAATCTTTGCCCCCTACGTCAAATACAGTTTTTAGTTTTTTTTGACTGAATAAATCTAAATGTAACAAAGCGCGAGCTGCAACTGAACTACGCTCTCTCAATGCAGATAAGAGACCGCCGTTTCGACGATGCGAGAAGGGAGAAGGGGTGAAGTTGTAGTTGCCGACGCGCGGGCGCCATCAAGTGGAGTACAAGAAAACAAAAAAAAAATTTCTGCAAAGAGACTTGAACTAAGAGCGTAGGCTTCCGCGGCTGGAGTGAGTATTTGATTGGCTGTCTGGATGACGCCGCGTCCATGGCAAAGGTCCCGACGTTTCTGTCGCCATTCTGCCACCTTCAGACCTGCAGTATTACGCCCTGAGGAAGGTCGCAGAATGGCGACCGAAACGTCGGCACCTTTGCCATGGACGTGGCGTCACTCGGACAGCCAATTAAATACAGACTTGAACTAAATGAACTTGAAAATTTTAGTTGGAAAATTAAACATTGTACAAAATTAATGAAATGAGAAAACTAAACACATTCAGGAACAATACATTCACTATTCATTGGGTGCACAGCGTTAATTATGTTTCTTTAAATGAAATTGTAATGTTTTATATGTACTAAGATCTTTACACGTATGTTTTAGTGGACAGTAGGATTTTATGCTTCCACCTTAAAATGAAAATAAAATGCCCCACAAATACATTCACTATTTTTTCTGTAAAGGGAATGCGAGGACAAATGCGTTACAAGATTGATATACTTGTATTTATGTGTTTGAAGTAAATAAGCTGTTGACAGTTTCATCCATTTAGAAGATTGAACGACACAGTAGTGACGTCGCTGCATCGACATGTAAGCTCCCGATTGAATGAAACCGTCAACAGCTGATTTATTTCAAACGGACGTATACATAAATCGTACTCTAAACATTTTGTTTATACCATACATTAACTTTTGCGTTTCTAAAGAATGAAACTTGAAGGAAACTCGATTTCTTAGCTTAACTAACTATATTCTAGTCATAACCAGCTGTACCATTCTTGTATCGAATATAACCTCACTCTCACTCGCTTGCTCACGCCAATGACGAATTCGGCCACTTTTGATACGTCGATTGCAACTTGAAAATCAAAACTGTTAAGATTTACTACAATGTTTTTTCTACAGTAGTTGCTATTGAATAATTGAATACGACACTACAAACAAATGACATCATGCGGTCATTTCATGAAAATTATTAGGATTTTTTATTTATTAATGCAAAATGGTTAAATATAGAAAACGATAATATATTTAGCTTGCTAGTTACGATGAAAGAAATATGCCATGTTCATCTTATGACAGTCTTACCTCCAAATATGGAAGTATAACTAGACCCAAGCATGGAGACACATTTAGCTGGCCGGCAAAATCGGGCTATCGGCCCAAAATGACAAATTATATATGTAGGACACATGGCTTATTTAAAAATAAACCATGAAATTTGGTTAAATAGGAAGTTCAAATTTGTTTCTAAACGGAAAGCTTTAGTGTTAGAAATAATAGATTCCCCCACTACTAACATTTCGTTCACGGGAACGCTCATTGTCGTGGTAAAACGCAAGAAAGATATTGATGAGTCGAGGACAAAATATGTCGCAATATAATAATATATATTTTTATTAAGCTCGGTAACCTTAAATGCTAGTGTGTCCTTTGGCTCGACAGCCCAATACGGGCCTTGGCCGACCACTGGTGGTCCAGCCTCTCGGCCATGGGATAAGGAGTTCCTGTGGTTTGCACGAAGACATCCCACCACCGTATATCCTGGTCTTTATAACCTAAGGGTGGGCTTTCTCATCGTCACACAGCAAAATATACTGGGGCATTTGTAAGGAAAGTGCAATGTTATAATTTAGCCCCGGTAGAGAACCGAACCTCCGGTTTCACCGTGGACCGATAACCAACAAGCCACCGAGAGCATCTTAAGTTCTATTTTAAATTACGGGAACGTATGGCAATTAAAGTTTGAAACTTGAATGTTAAACTCTTTTCAAAATACCTCGTGGTATATTACTAATTTAATGTGATATGGGATCACGCTTTCTGAGAGATTATTTCATCGTAACTGTTTCGCTTCTTTCTTCCCATTCTTCCTTTCCTCATCTTTCTTATTTCCTCCCTTATTTCTTCCCTTCTTATCTCCTTTCCTGCATACTTTGCTTGTTTGTTTTCTTCTTCCTTCCTTCTTTTTTATTTCCTATCTTCCTTCTTTTTTATTTCCTTTTTCTTTCTTCTTCATTCTCTGTGTGCGTGTGTGTGCGTGCAGAGCGCCCTGCACCGGTGCGCGGCCTGCGCGTGGCGGGGGCGGGGCCGGGCTGGCTGGACGTGCGCTGGGCGCCGCCCGCGCCAGAGGTCTGCGTCAGCGACGTGGAGTACGAGACGCGCTACCGCCCGCGCGGCGGCCTCTTCACGCCGCTGCGCGTCTACGGCGTCGTGCCCGGCCGCCGGCAGGGCTTCGTGCAGATGCGGCCCGCGCACCCGTGCCCCGCGTGGCCCACGGAGTTCTGCCTGCTGCTCGTGGACGCCGTGCTGCCCGGCCGCAACCACACTATAGAGGTGACCAAATGGCGCATCCCTTCCACTGAAGTGTAGTGTTGCCCCCTCCAAACAACAGCCTGGGACAATCAGGGTCATTACGTGAACATGTGTGGCAAAAATATTAATATGTAATGATGTAAAAGTAGTTCTGCCGAAGGGAAGGAAATAATTAATAAAAAGATACTGTTGAAGAGTTGAGGAGTCCCGTTTGGAGAATTTATGGGTAATAAGGTGAACGAGGAAATAAAAATTGGTATATTTTTCTTTGATGTGCGTTGTAGATTATTGATCGGAAACATTGTAGTAAAGAAGTTTATGATAATTAATTTAGTATAATATAATAATGAATGAATGAATGAATGATAACTCGTACGAAAATGTTGACGTAACATGAATTCTATTTAATGTATTGTTCACAGTATAAACGCTACAGTACATAGTAACACGAAATATACCTCTTTTTCTGGTAGTAGTCCGAGGAAATTAATACTGAATCTGATTTAATAATTAAAGTGGTGCGCGCAGGTGCAGGTGCACCGCGTGGACGGCCGGCGCCAGGAGAAGGCGGCCGTGCAGAGCGTGGAAGGCTACGCGGACCCGCGCCCGCTCACGTGGGGCCCGGACGAGGGCGCCCCGGGGGGCCGCGGGCCCCCACCCAGCGGCGGCCCCCACGAGGCCGCCGTGCGCTCCTGGTTCGTCGTCTCCCTCGTGGCGCTCGTGCTGCTCCTTGTCTTCTCCGGGGTCGTCCTCGTCCTCCTGCACAGGTTGGTCACGTGCCGTCTCCCATCATACTCAATCACACGGATCGCGCGCGATCTTTCCTTCCTCTTCCTGGCCTATCCTCACTTCGTAGGACGCTTTACCAAGCGGCAGGGCTCTTCCCACGCCGCCACCGCTGCACGCCACTGTCGCTATGGAAGGGGGTGGGTTGTGCAGGGGTAGGTTTCGCCGACCCTCCGGTGACGTCGAACAAAGGGAGCGCAGCAGGTAAAACGCCGTGACCGGCAGCTCAGTGGGAATGCCATAATTGAAAGCTGTGTTCTGCTAGCGGTGGCGCGTACGCCCTCCTCCGCTTCGCGTAGCGAGAGTCCGTCGCCGCACGTGGGAAGGTCACCATTCAAACCAATGCTCTGCTACGAGCCGCGGTGTTCGGAAGCGCGCAGCGGTGGCGGAGGTGGGGGGTCGTGGGAAGGGGTCCTAACGTGCACTACACTACCACACGTGCCGGGAGATCGGTCAGGAACTTAGAGCTTGTCCCCGCTGGGGCAGTAACCCGTTGGTGGGATGAACCTGATTGGAGAAAACACGTTTCCCGATGGCCAGTCGGTGTCGGATCTCACCATCCATAGTTAACAATTTTTGAGAACTTGTGTAATGATTGTCTTAAAATAAAAGAGGATACCCGAGGTATACTATTATCGTCTATTTCAATTCGCACAATAAAGCTACTCGCGGGTCGACTTAATTTCTTAGGCCTGCACTAGCTGAGGTATCTCCAGTCCAGCATTGACTTTGTCTCTTCAGCGATTCTCATCGGAAGTAGTAGGGTTCGAGTCCTGACAGTGGCATATTTTGGCTTTCCGCTTTCCGGAGGAGAATTCTATCGGCCAGCGGTTCTGATCTGTAATTTTCCGTGGTGTCTCCTAACAATACCTGGCAAATGCTATAGAAGCGCACTAGCAAACGGGTCACAGACCGCCCGCCTCAACTTCGTACAAGCTTCCCCCCCCCCCTTGACACACACCATAACAAGTACCATGTCGGGATATCAGTCGCGATCTGAGAGTGCGTTGTTGGAGGGAGATACACGGAGAGGGAAATCCTCCGTAAAAGGACGAGTTGTTCGGCACCATCCAGCTGGGAAAGGAAACCGCCACCTCCAAACACAAATACATTACCACAGACCGGCGCGAGAGAACCGCAGCGGGTGCGGCGCGGAACGCTCCGCGCTAGACGCGGCGGAATCCATTCACACCGGAGCGTCCATTATGACTGCGTTTGGAGACAGTTTTCCGCTTCCGACATACAAAAGCAAGGGGAGCTCGATCCAGAGGCAAGGGAATATTCCCAAATGCAGGCGGACTTGCACGAAACTCGAACTGCGACTGCGTTTCCAAATCCGCAGGAAAGAAAACGGTGCCGCGACGCTCCCCTCCCGCGCAGGTCTGAACGCGCTCGTAAGGCAAAACGTGACGCGAAATTTCCGCTGCGGCAATTCCGCGTAGGCTGCGGATCTCCCGCGTTGGCTGCGGATATTCCGCGTACGCTGCGGATATTCCGCGCCGGTCGGCGGGAGCCTTTACACTAACATTACTATCGGTGTACCAGTTGTCATGTCCGGAAACATTAATCAATAAACCATTGTGAGGCTCTCAAATACTTTCGAGTGTGTGTTTTCTTCACACTGCTTAGCAATTAGACTACACTCAACATGCATAAACGGGGGGGAACATTGGAATGTTGCCACGGAGTAGTGTGCAGAAAGGTAAACGGACCGTCGAAAGTAAATGTTTTTCTACCCACTTACAAGTTATTAGATCCTTTCTCTTGGTCCTGAAAATTTATTTGAGAATTAACTAATTACTGATATTATATGAAGTAACTCGTATGTCGAGGTAAGCCGATGTGCATGATATCAAGAAATATTTTTGAGAGTAACTAATGAATTGGTAACATATATTACTTTTACATATTCAATTTATTTTCATATTTGCTATTAAAAATCCTGCTATTGAAAACGATGTTCACTCATGCATTGAATTCTAAATAGGTATTTAAAACGTTATGAATTGCATTATAAATGCCAGAAAGATGCATTCTGTGTTAACACGCATTTTCACTTATGGGAACATTCCGAATGAGGAGAGGGGTAAAAATGTCAATGTTTTGTTACTGAGTATTTGCATGATGGCGAATTAAAAGATAAAGGGTAAAAAAGTTATGCTCTTTTATTAATTTCGATTTATATTGTCATTGTTTCTCTCTTTTCCTTCCTTTTTAATTATTTTCATTATTTTGGATTGTTTCTATCTTTTCTTGTCTATTAAAGTTATGATCTCACTATGAACTAAATATTTTTCCTATTATTGATTATGAAAAGTATTTATTATAACTTCATATTTCTCATTAGTATATTCTTTCATTTATTTCCTTAATATATGAAGTATATTATTAATCATTGTTTAGTTTAAAGGAAATTAAAAATTAGTTTTGCTAGATGACTTTAATTGAATATTCTGAACTTAAATATACTTCTGAACATACATAAATACCATACAAAGTTGGCAACATAAGGCATTTTTTTACATTTTTTAACTTACAATTAAATGTTTACTCGACAGCCATAAACATTTACTCATATTTAGACAACGTAAATTCTAACAATTTTTAAGTTAAAAATATATTTTAGTGTTGTTAACACAGGCACACGAAAAAGAAATAATTGTCAGACCCAAAGACGTGACACACGTTTCACTATGTATGCTTGCATGCTGAATCCGAATCTGAAGCCTGAATTGCGCCACCCCCTCCAGTTTCTTTTTAAATTGCGAGAAACTACTGTAAAATTGAAGTTTGTAAATTTTATAATGCTTTTACAATAAAAAGAAAGGGGAGGGTGGTTGTCCAATTCTGACTTCAGATTCGAGTTCTGCGTATCGATATTTATATATGAGAAAGAGAGAGGGAGGGAGGAAGAGAGAGAGAGAGAGAGAGAGAGAGGGAGGGAGGAAGAGAGAGA